TAGAGAAACAATGGAAGAGCTGCAACGTTTCATTTCAAATGGTCATACCAATTGTCACACTACTGATGGCATATCTTGTTGCTGATCATTTTTGTAGGAAGAAGCTGATGGGGGTGACAAATGGGTAACCACAACAGAAGAGGAGAAATCAGAGTCGGAAAGAGATGTAAGTACTCGATGTAAACCCCCTTTTCGTTGTTTCAGTAACAAGATACAACAGTTTTCACCGAATTCGGATTTTAGTCCTTCCGATCTGAGTCTTGGTGGTGGTGGTGGTTGTTGTTGCAGAGGGAGATAGAGGAGTTGAAGGAAGAGATACGACTGTGGTCGTCAGGAAAGCAAAACAACATCCGTCTACTGCTATCCTCGCTGCATCATGTACTTCCACTATAAACTCTCTGAATTCAAATCATTGCTATTTACAGAATGGATAAATGAATGAAAGTTGCTTGATGTGGGTGTGGGTGTGGGGAATGCAGATACTAGAACCAGGGAGCGGGTGGAGTGCGATCCCATTGACGAGCATAATCACGAGCTCGCAGGTGAAGAAGGCTTATCAGAGAGCAAGGCTGTGTCTTCACCCTGACAAGCTCCAACAGAGAGGAGCCACGCAGCATCACAAGTACGTCGCCGAGCAAGCCTTCGCAATCCTCCAGGTACTTTTAATTACTACAGACACTAACAAAGCTTGCTTACTGCATCAGTTTCCATGTTAAATTTCGAATGGTGAAATACTCCTGAAACTGATGGAATTCATGGTTGGATGAAACAGGATGCGTGGGCTGCATTCATTTCCCAGGATCTGCTTTTCAACAACCCAGTGAAGTGAGAAGTGAGAAGCAACCATGTTTATGATGAGTATATTGTGTTGCTTGGATTACTGCTAGAAGCAAGCAGCCGCCACCAAGGGCTTTTGTCTTGGATTCAAATTCATATATAGGTGGTGGGGCTTGGTTGGCTTGGCTGTCTGGTTTTTGGAGGTGATGAGAAGCTAGCTAGGCAAGTGTGTATAGAGACGAGAACTGTAAGTGATATGTAATGTTTAGAATAATGATACGATATTCGTTTGGTAGATAGAGTACAACATCAATTTCCGATCACAAAATCGATCAAAAAGGCAACGCTACAACGAGTCGAACAAATCTATATGGACAGGGCTGCATGAGCATAATTGTAGGGACAGTCACCAAGTGGAAACTGATTTACTCGCTATACACGTTTCAGAATATAATCGGTATGTGGTTTTCAGAATATAATCGGAGGTTGAACCGAAAAAGTTAGTAGTTTAGGGTTCAGTGGTTAATCGTTATAAAATCGTTGGTGAACCGTCGATAAAACCGTTTATGATGTATAATATATAAGAGTTGTATATTACACTAATTTAATAATGCATTTATTATTAAACATATGATATGAATTTAAAATTCAAATTTAAATATAGGATAAATCATTCAAACCATTAAGAAATCATATTTTTTTAATTCAAATTTAAAATTACGGTGTCAGTCGGTAGTTGACAATGTAAAGTTGACAACAAAGTTGGAATGAGAAGAGTAAGCCTATATAACTTAATAATTATGGTTTGATGGTATTAGTTTATATTAAAGTATTAGATTTTTTTTATTAAAATAGTGAACCGATAGACCAGTTAAATCGTCATGGTTCATCTAATTTTATGTTGAACCATGAAAAACCGTTTGGTCTATCAATAACCGTCCAAACAATGAAACGAACCGCTATCATAACTGGTTTGACGGTTTTATAGGCTCGACCATTGATCCGGTTCGGTTCTTATAACAATGGGCAGTAGAGAGGTCTCGTGGCTAGGGATGGCAATGGGTCGGGTTGGGGCGGGTTTTGTCAAACCCGAACCCAAACCCATGGGTTTATACGCCAAAAAAACCCGCTGGGTTTGAAAAACTCGAATACAACCCAACCCGCTGGGTATCCGCGGATTCATGGGTACCCGTGGATTTTTGTGGTAAAAAATTTATAATAACAAGTTTCTTTCAAAATAAATTTTTAACATCAATTTTCGCATACAAATTATTCATATAAAAAATACCAATCTACAGCATACAAGCAAACCGCAAATGATCAATACAAGTTGTTCAAAATTAAATATAAGCATCTATAAACAACATGATTAATTGAAAACTTCTTCCTCCTTGTCAACTAAGCTTCTTCACTCTCCACTCCATAATATCAACTTCATTCTAAACAATTAGAAAGAACAAATTATACAAGTCTCCACAACACATTAAGAATATTAGTTGTTTAAAATATTAAATATATCGGGAAAGTAATTATATGTGTGGGCGGGTACCCATGGGGCGAGTTTACCTAAACCCAAAACCAACCAACCCGGTGAATAGTGTAGCGGGTTTAAACCCGAATCCGGCCCAAAACCCATTAACACGGGTTTTACCCGCGTAGACCAGGTTGGGTCGGGTGGGTACCCGTGGGTTCGGGTTTTGTTGTCATCCCTACTCGTGGCTATATTTCTTCAACGAGAAATTTCCCTCCCCAAGCGACCAACAGGCCGGGCCGAGCCAGCCCATTCTTCAGCCCGTGAAAGTATTCGACTAATGGCCCTGAGCCCAAGTTCGTATCAACGGGTCCTAACTCCTAACTCCCAATCAGATTCAATAATTACGATTTTCTTCTCTGGTCTTACGCTTTCTCTTTGCTCTCTCCTTCCTTGTCTATCTGTCCGTCCGAGTGTCTGTGAACCTCCGATCTCGCTCTCTTCCGTAGTGCCACCCATCACGATCTTCACCGGCGATCACACTCCACCCTTCATCTATCTTGTCCTCAGGTTGGCAACTCTCTCCTTCTATGATCTCCCTATCGCTCTTTTGAATCTCCTGAGATCGTCTGCTTCTCAGTTTCTGATTTCTATACCCTCCCCAAGCTAAATGATTTCAACACGAATGCCGTAATGGATCCTGGAGTCCTAGAATCACTCTGAAAGGTCTCCTGATTGCTTATTGTAGCAGAATTTTGGTTCGCTTAAGTCCAATTATCTTAAACTTTCTGCTTTTCTGGCTCTGGTTATCATATATGGCGAAGAATATCGACGATTTAGATCTTCTTCTTTGTTAGGGATGAATTCTTTTTGAGGGCTGAGGTAGCACGTTCTTAGAAAGAGGTGGAAGCGTTAAATGAAATCGATTGGAATAAGCAATATTCGAGTGCTGGGATTCTCTGTACCATGCCACTGTAATTTCAACCACATAACACGTTCCAGATGGTGAAAGATCGAATTGCTGAGATTGGTAGCTACTACTGTAATTGTAACTGAATTTAGCCTCCCTGGTCAGAAGGGATTCATTGTTTACAAAGCATATTGTTTGTTGCAACTTCATTGAGCGGAAATATATGTTGTATAGGCTTCCATTTCTCTGTGGGATCTGCTACCAGAACACATTGTTTGCCTGCTGAGTGACCTGGGTGATTCAGTAAAGCCTCACATATCATTTAGATATCTCCATGGAAGTGGATAATTGTCTGTAAATGGGATACCAGTGCTTTGGTCATTTCTACTTCGAGTTAGGACCTGTTATGAAGCAGGGATAAATGGCACCTTAAACTACTTGGGCAAAAATATGAGATGCATTCAGGTTCTTTATATGCCATGCCATCCCTAAAAAGGGCATATAAGCATTGTTCAATTTATTTGTTTTTTTTTTTTTTTCCGCAGTTTCCTTCTTTCTTAAGTTTTATGCTGAGACTGTTTTCTACATTCTAGTTTCAGATTTTACTGAAAGATGGCAGGCCAAGGCCAGCGCTTGACTGTGGTCCCTACAGTAACCATGCTTGCAGTGATGAAAGCTCGCCTCGTCGGTGCCACAAGAGGCCATGCTCTTCTCAAGAAGAAGAGTGATGCTCTAACTGTGCAGTTCCGGGCAATACTCAAGAATATTGTATCGACCAAAGAGGCCATGGGAGACATCATGAAGAATTCCTCCTTTGCCCTAACTGAGGCAAAATATGTTGCGGGGGAGAATATCAAACACGTCGTCCTGGAAAGCGTCCAAACTGCATCTGTTAAAGTCCGATCTCGCCAAGACAATGTCGCTGGAGTTAAGCTTCCCAAGTTTGAGTATTTCTCTGAAGGAGATACCAAGAGTAATGACCTAACTGGTTTGGCCAGAGGCGGGCAGCAGGTACAGAAGTGCCGTGTTGCTTATGTGAAAGCAATTGAGGTTCTTGTCGAGCTGGCTTCGCTTCAGACTTCGTTCTTGACGCTTGATGAGGCAATCAAGACGACAAATCGAAGGGTTAATGCATTGGAGAATGTTGTGAAGCCAAGAATTGAGAACACAATCACTTACATCAAGGGGGAGTTGGACGAGCTCGAGAGAGAAGATTTCTTCAGGCTGAAGAAGATTCAAGGTTATAAGAAGAGGGAGATCGAGAGGCAGAGAGCTTCTGCAATTGGGTTTGCTGAGGATCAAATTGCTGAGAAGCTGTCCTTGAGTAAAGGCATTTCGATGGCTTCGGCTCAGAACATGTTGGCTGCTGGCGCAAAGGACGAGGATATAATCTTTTGAGCTGGGATGCAAGTTAGTTTTAATTTATGGCTTCTTTCCTTAGGATTCGGGGCTGCTGCCACGAACATGCTGCTTCCTTTTGGTGGTGATTGCGCCGAGATCATTCAGAGCGGAAGAGATACATATATATTTTGCTGAATAAAGCTTACGTGTATGTTTGTTTGTTTAATCTGGTTATTTGCTCCTCCTGTTTGTTACTTTCGACTGTAAGATGCATTTGATAAACATAAGTTTCGCTGGTTGCTTTGACCATATTCTATCAGATTACTAGTGTTGCATGTTGAGAATTGCAGCTTTCTTCGAAATCATGATAAACTAGACTCGCCAGGACTACTTGAACTGCACAAGCTGAATATGCAGGTGAATGCTATGAACTCTCAGACCTCTTCCCTTTCGTGACCGGAGTGTTTGCCCACTCATATCTCCGCTCTCAAGTTCGAGGTTCACTGGAAATAAATCGAGCTACCATGTAGTATATAGAAGAAAAATCATTGACCAGGCCGATAGGCAACTTGATTATAACAACACAAAAACTAGAAAACAATAAACTTCACTGCAGCTAATCTGGGATTGATTTGGAGCAGAATTTATACTGATCTAGACAGCATTGGTCCGCCCCACCCTTAAAGCAGTTAGATTAATGAGAGGGGGAACTAATTTTCTCTCGAATTATAGGAACACTGGAACAAAATTACTGCAAAAATATTGTGCAGTCCATTATGCCAAGCAAGGACTCAGGTGTGGGCCTTTCTTGTTACTTGTTCCTGCTGATTACTCGTTGTGTGATGTCTATCAAAGCTCGCTTCGACCTCTGCACATCCTCATCAATAGTTTCCGGTAAAGAATCAATAGCTTCTGCAGCAAGGCTAGCATGTTGTGCAGCAAGCTCTCTTGTCCTTTGTATTCCATGGCTCTTTCCAAGGTATTCAAGTGCCTGTAATATTTCAAAGACCAATGCAGAACACAATGGATCAGAATGCCCTGAAAGAAACAACACGAAGAAAAGAATACTGAAATCTCATCCATGCCCAACTTACAAGGTTCACATTCTTGGGATCCTTGAATCCTTGATCAATAATTGCACGCAGCTGGGGAAACTCCTCCATGGCAAATAGTATCGGAGCAGTTACTATTCCCTACAAAAGGTGTTTGAGCAAAGTGAATAGAAAAACTTGCAACACCAGGCCATTGGAGCTGGCTGCAGTTTATATCAATGGAAGGCGCATTCAAATATTCACACCAAGGGTTTTTGGATAAATTACATGGCGTATGTCTGACAGTGATCCTTTTCCAAGTGAAGCAGACGTGCCAGTGAAATCAAGAACATCGTCTATCAACTGGAACGCCATACCCTGGCAAAAAGATGGGACTGTTATCAGCATCAATTTAGAGAACAGAAAAGAAGTTCTAAAAGAACCAGTGGCATTGGAAGCACACCACGTACAGAAAGATCCATAGACAATGAATTCATGTAGTCAGAAGTCATTTTACTCATCGACAGCATTAAAACCATTTTGGATTATAAACCATTACTCTTGCACCAACAATTTAACAGCAGAATCACATTCCAAAGACATTGAAATGTCAGATCCTACAGGAAATGAACTTTCGAAAGCCATCACCATACAGCAGCTCTTCATCAGATTATGCAACATAAGTCATGTTATGGAGGGGGACTACAAACCAGATTTCTTCCATACTCAAAAGCCAGTGTTGCCACTTCACCAGTTTGCCCAGCAAGAAGGGCAACTGCCTTGCAGCTACTGGAAATCAGAGATGCAGTCTTGTAGTAAGTCTTTTGCATATAATATTCCATGCTGCACAAAGAACATGTTCTTAGACAAATTTAAACAAAACATATAACCCGGGAGGAAATCCCAACTCAAGGAATCATCAAAGATGTCAGTAACACACCTACAACGTTGCTCAGTGGTAGTAGTCATCTGCATGGTCTCACCAGTTACAAGATGCTCCAAAGCTTTCGCCACTAGTGAAACGACCTATAGTTATGCATTTGGGCCAGAGTGAGAAAACGGCAAAGAGATAAGCAGCTCTACAAAGGTAGAAATCTACACTTGCTTTGGACTGGAATGTCAGGGAAATTACAGCATATATATACCTCAGGGTTCCCCAAAGAAGCTAGTGCTACACAAGCTCTTGAAAGTAGGAAATCTCCAGCTAGGACTGATACCTGCAGAATGCAATGGAAGACAGTAGTAGGACGCAGCCATGGTTTCCTTACTCTCAATTGAAACTGCCTCTAGCTAGTTGTTAGATTGGCAGATCAGACTGTATCTTACATGGTACAAGAAAGAAAGTACCTTGTTGCCCATCACAAAGTTTAACGAATCGATACCACGTCTCGTGTCTGCATCATCCAAAACATCGTCATGGAGAAGACTTGCTACCTAATACGCGAAACTAGTTTAGTCATCGTCGTAGCGTGGCAAGTCCACCAAAATTAACTGATGGTAACTGCTAAAGCAAGAAAGCACACATGAATCATCTCTGTGATCTCTGCTAAAAGTTGCTGTCTTGCACGTAGCTCTGCAGCCATGGGAGCACCACCATTAGGTAGGTGCACATTTAGAGCTGTTGCCATCAGCAACAACACCTGCATGCATTAGAGTTTAAACCCTCGTATCAGTAAACACAAGCTGGCATAACAGAATGGCATAGGCCTACTCAGTATAATCTGAAAGAGATACAAAACTAACTGTGGAACAATATTTTAGTTTACCGTTGGGCGGAACCTCTTCCCTTCCACTCCAATTTTAAAGAAGTATTCAGCAGCTGATGCGAGCTTGGGAACCTGGAAGTTAGGAGATCAATCATCAGGCCCGAACTGGGATTCTGCATCGCACACTTGAGTCTAAAAGCAAAGTAAGATTTAAGAGCAAAGACAATTTAAGTACCTCAGCAACTACCATTTCCCGCAACTTTTTGGCAAGAAGCGATAACTCATCAGCAACGAGTGAAAAAGGATCAAGTTGTTCCTGCAAGAAAATCATTCACGGCCGGGCATAAAATGTTGTGACTAAGTTGCAAGAACTGCAAATTGTTAAGAGCTGAAGATTGCTTCATTGGCATGCAGTGTGGTTAGTTTGTGGCTTTGTGCCAATTTTAAGCATGAACCAAAATCAATTCAGGAGCTGGTCCGAATCAACCCAATTTGGGCCGACTAACTCAGCCGCAGATGACCAGCGGTGGTGTGATTGTTCTAGGTTGGATCTTGGCCCAAATGGAATTAGGCTTTGGGCCGTTGGCCCTTTCCTTTTGGCAAGCAGTACATGGAAGCATAGTTAGTAAAATACGGTACGGGAAAGTTACGTATAAAATACGTACGGGTATTATACTTTTTCTTTAAGCTAAGGTTACGTTTAATAGTACGTTAATAGTCATAAATATATAAAATTAATTATTTTAAAAATAAATAATATTAAAGTTAACAATTAATTCATAAAATACGGATAATAAACGTGTTATACGGGTTTTATACGTGTTTAGTACGGGAGCCATCAAATAAACGGTAAAAAATGAAACATCTTGACAATAATACGGATACAGAAATTTTAAACGCATAAAGTACGTACGGGTACATATAGGGTTGTCATTTTGGTTGCCGGTTAGCGGCTAACCGGAAATCGAAAAAACAGAGGGGCGGTCGGTTGACGGAAGGGATCAGTGATCAAGCGGTTAGCCGAGAAACCGAAGCCGGTTAACTGGCTAACCGACGCTAACCGACCGAGACGAAACGACGTCGTTTTGCCTACTCTTAAATACACCAACTCCCCCCCCCCCCCCCCAACCCTAGCACTGCTGGCCTTCGTTCTCCACTTCTCCCTCAACCCTCACCTCTGCCCGCCGCCTCGCCTCTGTCTTCGGATCGAGCACCCTGCCGCCTTCGGCAGCAAGATCGTGCACCTTCCCTTTCATCGCCCCCAGCCCCGCCGCCGCCGCCCCCCGCCGCCTCCCCTGCGCCCGCGCGCTTCGTGCACCTTCCCTTTCATCGCCCCCAGCCCCGCCGTCGGCGCCCCTCGCCGCCTCCCCTGCGCCCGTCGCCTCCTCCCTTGCTCGGCGCCGGCGTGTCTTCCCCACCTGTCCTCACCACCGAGGCGACCCCTGCAGATGAGCAGATCTGTTTCCATGGAGAAAGAAGGTGAGAGAAGAAGGAGGAAGGAGAGAGAAGAGGTCTGGTGAAGGAAGGAAGGAGAGAGGAGGAGATAAGGAAGGAGTGGTGGAGATTTTTTTGTTTTATTTAATTATTTTTTTTTTGTGGAAAATGTAATTTTTTCGGTTGGCCGGCTAATCGAGCCCAAAACCGGAACCGCTCGGTCGATTGGCCGGCTAACCGTGACCTTTCTTTGGTCGGTGGTCGGCAGCTATAAGGGGGGTCTTGGTTTAACCGATAACCGGGTTTTTGGTTTTCGGTTAAACTGAAACCGATCGATTGCCACCCCTAGGTACATATACGTGTATTAAACGAAGTATTTACTAACTGTGCACGGAAACAAGAAGAAAGGAATTAAATGGACCGGACTCCTTTTCTTTGGAAGGTGACTTTGCAGGCGGCGCAACAGAATAAGTGGAATTGAGATTTGAGAGTCATTTATCATTTGCTAAAAAATGAGGATGCTTCAGCTACAAAATCAAGAATGCTTTTTAAAAGAAAAAAAAAAAAAAGAGAATGCTTCAGCTCACCTCAACCAAGAACGTGCTCTGGTGATACATTTGATGCGTTAACTGAAGCGCGGCAGAACGAATAATGTTCTCTGCAACTTATACCCTATTAATCACCACGAAATGAAAGGAGACTAAGAATTAGCATAAACAAATCAACCTTAATTAACAAAGACAAAGTACTTTGGGTGCATCAAGTGGCAGTTTCAAGATTTTTGAATAAATGTGTCAACGGGTAAAAATAAGCAACAACCAAAACTAATTTAATTATAATTAACTAATTAAAATTAAACAGAAATTTTTTATTCATAAAGTTCCCAATTTCAGAAGTCTAAAAGCAGCTCATTAAATACACCAGAAATAGCAAATCATGCATGACACAGCAAGCTCGCTAAAACAAACTTCAGACGCAGAAACCGTTATTATGCGGAGAGTTCCTAGTCGCCGTCAGTGAACCGAACAGAAATTATTAGATCGGAAGAGTCAGTGGAAATGTTCGACTCGACGGGAATGGGATTACCTTTTGAGCACAGTCGTCGACAGTGTTGGAGCTGTCGTCGGAGAGAGGGAGCGGATCCAGTCAGCGAGAAAGGAGCAAGCTAAGCGGCAACTTATTAGAGCATTGCTCGTCCTCGTAATTCTTGAAATCGACGACAAGCCTCGTGACAAGAAGGGGGAGAAGTATACAACGAGGTATATATGCCGACTTGAATTGGGTTCTGCGACGTTCCTTCCTCCAGCAAAACAAATTTATAGTCTGTATGCATCGACTCGATTTCGGTGAAAGAGTCTGTTTAGTCACTAGGTGGATAGTTTTGTAAAAACTTTCAATAACAAAAAAAAAAAAAGAAATAGACATAAAGGACAAAAAAAAAATAATGAGCTTTCCCTGAAAGTGGCTTCGACTCTGAGATGGGAAGACTTACTCGATATAGGATCGTTAATGATTAATTGAGAATCCATACAAAATGTAACACTCAATATATTACGGTAAGACACCATCTTATAGCATCGCAAAAAACAAGTAATTCAGATATGCAAGCATCCATGATATCACACTAGAATTTACCAAAAGCAAATGAAATAGTTGCACATGCTTGAGGTTCTTTGTTATGATTAAACAAAGCATTTAAGAGTTATACTATAATATGCTAAATTCCAGAAGTGTGAAGCATATAGTCGAATGTCAAGGCAACGTAGCAATCCTAGACCATAAGAATTCTTCGATTGAGAAATCATCCTTGAAAGTGACCGACACCAAAACCATTGTTATAAGAACCGTATTGGATTAATGCTTGGTCCAGCAGAATCGTCAAACCAGTTACGATAGTGATCTGGTTCATTACTTGAACGGTTATTGATGGACCAAACGAATTTCCACGATTCAACATAAAATCAAATGAACCACCACGATTTAACTGGTACACTGGTTCACTATTTTGATCATAATTTTTTTTTAAATAAAATATTTTAACCTAAATTAAGACCATCAAACCAGAAGTATTAATTTTATTTCGGCTTTCTCTTCTCGTTTTCCAACCGTGTTGTCGACTTTACTTGGTTCACTACCGACTTGCACTATAATTTTGAACTTGAATATTAAAAAATATAATTTCTTTTGTGAGACAGTCTGAATGATTTGTCAAATTTTTTGTGATGATATGAATTTGAAATTATTTATGGTCAATGATAACTTCATTCTTAAATTAGTGTATTATACAAGTCTTGTGTTTTATATATCAAGAATAGTTCTATCAACGGTTAACCAAAATTTTTGTAACCATTAACCACTAATTTTTTTTATTAAACATTCCGTTCAATTACGAAAACAGATATCAAAACAAATAAATAAGTCTATGAAAAAAACAATATATTGTACGAATACGTCAAATTTGTTGTACGTAATATGTCACTGAGTGAATATGTCATGGATTCGACACCCTTAAAAAACAATAAACCTGCGTTAATTCTATTAAACTTGAAAACCATGGCCCAAATGAAACCCGCATAATTAGCAAACCTCACCTAAAACTTGTGTCAGGGCTCATGTGCAAGAAATCAGAAAGAATATAATTGATTAAAGCATCCACGTTTCTAACAAATACGACAAAACAAGTGCAGGAAAAGAGAATTTTGGTGGGGAAAGCTTTTTGGGGGAAGGGAAGAAAAGAGAAGAGAGGTTTGGGTGGGCCTCTTGGCTTACTATGCGTTGGGCCCGGCCGTGTAAACCGAGTTAAACGTTTTAAGTTTGCAGAGCATATGTGTGGACGAATGGACGCCCATTCTAAGCTCAGCTACTGCAATTTTACCTGATTTGTACTTGTGCACACTTAAATTTGTCAAGACCAATATTTATGTAGATAAGTTTTCAAAATATTTTTATGATAATTTATTTTATTTTAAAGTCAGTTTGATAACTCTTCCAATTACTTTATTTATGAAGAACTTTGTCCAAAATTTGGCATGATATTAAATAATATTTGAATTAAAATAATACAATATGGACACTCTATCGACACTCTAAATATATAATTGTTTGAGAATAGACAATCCTGCGCTCTCGCTCCTACTTCATGAATTGGTAACCGAAGCTCAATTGTTACCGAGTACCGACACCCTTGTAGTTGAATATTTGTCAAATGTAATATAATAGGATGGAAATTCAATTGTTACAATATTTTCATTTATGACTAACCTTTATTGGAAGAATGTTAATGTTGTAATTTTAGTGGCTTCTTTGAATGCACTAAAATGAGGAAAGAATGTTGAAAATAAGGTAGATACAAATTGGTTAAATTAAAGGAGCAGAGGTTAGTAAGGAACCTCATTGCTAAACTAAAGGAGCAGAGGTTAATAAGGAATTAGCCAATATTCCATTACTTTTGAATTATTCGATGTTCAGTCAATTAATTTATCAATATGATACATTTGTATAATTTGACCGTTTTGGATTTTGAAGTGAAGTAATGTTTCATGTTGAAACAACTCGTCCTTCCAACTCCAATTGCATTCATTAATGAAATTAAACTAATTCAACTTATGGAGACAACCTTAATTGCCCAAATGAAAGCTTGTGATCGTTAAAAGTTGTTATTCGTGCATTATAAAACCAGGGGCTTGGTTGATGACAAGAGAGACAAGAAAAATCATCCATTCTTCTTCTTTCCATAAGTTTCCAAGTGGTGCTTTAGTGTTCTTAACCCTATAATCTAAAGTAGTGATAGTTTTTATCAAAGGTAAAATATCCTAACGGTAAAGCTACCGCGACAGTGAAGGTTTGGGAGTTGCAGATCTCAGGTTCGAATCCAAACGAGGCCCGTTGGTGTTCCCGAAGGTATAAGGCTGCTCGGGGCGTCGAATTTGATTGCAGGTGGCCCCCAGGTTTAGTAGGACCCGCTGTCACAAAGTGGCACGCAGCGCTGAGGTTCCTGGGTAATAAAAAAAAAGTAGTGATAGTTTTATCATACGAAAAATTTTCAAGTAACCCAAAGCTTTGTAGAGGGTGAAAACATTTTATAGTTTCCTACTCTATCATAGTCCTGGTCACCCGATTCCGAACTATTGTACTTACAGCTTGTCCAATTTTTAAACTCAAGAGTTGCATTTTTAAAATCGAAGGAGAGTTAGAACTCTCTCATGTTGCAGCCATGACCACCCTCAGAGGCGAGATCTATGATGTTACAAATTGCTATGATCCATTATTGAACCTCTTTCAGAAACTCGAGTTATGGTAACTAATTGGTTCTTCACACGATATTAGAGTCTTATGTGACTGAGAGGAGAGGTCTTCTGTTCGAATCCCAATGGCTCTCATTTGTTCTGTTTATCATATTGTATTAAGATCTGTGCAAACTTCAAACCCATATATAATGACTTTTGTTTGAAAAAGTGTGTTAGTAACTGATATATGATAAATTATTGAACTTCTCTCAAATGCTTGAGTTATTGTAACTAATTGGTCGGTGAAAATGATAGCCTCTTCAAAGTCCATATCAATCCAAGTGATGATGATGGCTTTGTTTCATCATTACAACTGGACCGAAGTAGACACCAGAACTTACATGGTCGAGTCGTCTCCTAGCCCACTGATAATGGTTGAGGCACGCTGTTGTTTGATGACTCAATTGGCGAGGATACTGATAGAGAGACACTGGTATCATGAGCATTGAGTTGTATAAAACCCAAAAACTGATGACCAATAATCGTCACTTCCACTAATCTGAGATTCATTTGGAGCAGAATCTATACCTATCTGGCTATCTGTGTTGTACACAGAGTAACATGGGAGCACAATTTACAAGTATCAGGTCCCCTTACATTGTATATTATTTGTGACAAAAAATCTGAAAAGCAATTAAATTAATGGGAGAGGGGGGAACTAATTTGCCCTCAAATTACAGGAACAATGCAAGGAAATGAGTGCAAAAATATTGTGCAGTACATTGTGCCAAGCAAGGATTGAGGTATGTGTGGCTTCTTGTTACTTGTTCCTGGTGATTACTCTCTGTGTGATGTCTATCAAAGCACGCCTCGACCTCCGCACATCCTCGTCATCAGTTTCCGGTAAAGAATCGATAGCTTCTGCAGCAAGGTTAGCATGTTGTGCAGCAAGTTCTCTTGTCCTCTGTATTCCACGGCTCTTTCCAAGGTACTCAAGTGCCTACAAATTTTACAAGTCCAATCCAGAACACAATGGATCAGAATGCCATGAAAGAAACAACGCAAGGAAAAGAGTGCTGAAATGCCATCCATGCCTGACTTACAAGGTTCACGTTTTTGGGATCCTCGAATCCTTCATCAATAATTGCACGCAGCTGGGGAAACTCCTCCATGGCAAACAGTATGGGAGCAGTTACTATTCCCTACAAAAGGTGTTCGAGCAGAGTGAATAGAAACACTTCATACAACAGGCCGTGTAGCTGGTTACAGCTTTAATCAATGAAAACAGTATTCATATAATCACACTAAGGTGTTTGGATAAATTACATGGCGTATGTCTGACAATGATCCTTTTCCAAGTGAAGCAGACGTGCCAGTGAAATCAAGAACGTCATCTATCAATTGAAAGGCCAAACCCTGGTAAAAAGATGGAACTGTTAGTTATCAGCATTAGTTCAGAGAACAGGAAAGAAGTTTGAAAAGAACCAGTGGCACTGGAAGCACACCATGTACTGTTAATTACAAGATCTTTTGTTGATGAGTCAATGCATATGGATGCTAGAAGGAAACCCTCGTGTGTCTTAAAACCAACATAGTGGAAATCCTTTCCCAAATAAGCATGCAGCATATGAAAGATTGGGAATTATCAGTCTTCTTTCAAATAATACGACATCTTTATGGACTTAAATGGAGACCGGAAATGAGATCCATAGACATGATTTCATGTAGTCAACGACTCAACTGGCATTTTACTCATTGACTTTGACAGTCATAAAACCTTTTTGGATTATAGACCATTACTCTTGCACCAACAATTTAATCGCATTCAAAGACATTGAATCTCTTTAACAGATTATTCACAAAGACACATTATGGAGGCGACTACGAACCAGATTTCTTCCATACTCAAAAGCCAGTGTTGCCACTTCAGCAGTTTGCCCAGCAAGAAGTGCAACTGCCTTACAGCTATTGGAAATGAGAGATGCAGTCTTGTAATACGTCTTTTGCAAATAGTACTCCATGCTGCACAAAGAACATGGTTTTTGAAAAATTTAAACACAACATATATCCCGGCAGGAAACCCCAACTCAAGGGACCATCAAATGGACAGTACCAACAATGTAACTATGTACATAAAAGAGGCACAATCGTACAACTAGGTAGATGCAATTCTTCTCACAAGAACAAGAGTTCTCAAGATTTGACTTTGACCAATGGTACAAGTTATAAAGGGACACACCTGCCTAATACATGACCAATGTCGAAAATACAATTCTGCACTTCATAACACATTGGGATCAGGGTTTCATCAAGCAGTCTCAGAATAAGCTTGAAAGTCGAAACCAATCAACATTATGATATACGGGAAAGGAAATGGGGGGGGGGGGGGGGGGATAACAAATGTGTCAAGCCACGATGACATGCAGGAAGTTTGCTGTCATCTTCAACTCTAATGTCCCGACAGTACAAAATGCAATGTGTTAGTAGAAGCAGGCAAGATAACATACCTACAACGTTGCTCAGTGGTGGTAGTCATTTGCATGGTTTCGCCAGTTACAAGATGCTCCACAACTGTTGCCAGTAGTGAAACGACCTATAGTTACCGCATTTGGCAGAGTGAGAAAATGGTAAAAGACCAGCCAAACATATTAAAAATATAGCCAATCCTTCAAGCAACACCTAGCGAGTATAAATAAAGAGAAATGACCCCAAGTGAATGATAGTGTACATTTCTCTTGCAGGCTGCTGCACCTAGCAATGACTTTTTAAGTCTTTTTGCACCATGTATTAACGGTTTTGGCATACTTTTTCAAGAACTTCTCCAACAAACAAAAGAGATAAGCAGCTCTACAAAGGTTGCAATCTAGACTTGCTTACCTCAGTGTTCCGCAAGGAAGCTAGTGCTACACAAGCTCTTGAAAGTAGAAAATCCCCAGCTAAAACTGATACCTGCATTAACAAAGGACAAAAATCAATGAGACATTATGACCCAGTCATGGTTTTCTCCAGTTCGAAGCCATTTCTACTTCCAATTGAACTGCCTCTAGTTGTTTACATTGGCTGATCAGACTGTATTTTCCATGCCATAAGAAACCTAGGAGATAAATCGAAAAAATCTATAAAAAGCTACAAGGGGATGTTCACGTGGCATCCCAAAAGTACTATCTTAGAACAGCAAATAGGATCTGATAAGCATTAAAAGAAATCCCAATGAAAGCAAATTGTATATTCTGGAAAATACAGAAGTACCTTGTTGCCCATAACAAAGTTTAATGATTTAATACCACGTCTTGTGTCCGCATCATCCAAAACATCATCATGGAGAAGACTTGCTACCTAATATGCCAAACCAGTTAAGTCGCCATTAAGTGGGAAATCCACAAGTTGATACCATCAAATTGACTGATGTAACTGCTGAAGCAAGAAACTCACATGAATCATCTCTGTGATCTCTGCTATACGTTGTTGTCTTGCACGTAGCTCTGTAGCCATGGGACCGCCATTAGGTATAGGTTCAGGTATGTGCACATTTAGAGCTGTTGCCATCAGCAACAAGACCTGCATTAAAATTTAGTCCCGCGTTCAGTATCACATTAGTACCATTAAACACAAACTGACATAACAAAAGGGCATATGCCTACTCAGTACAATCTGAAAGAAATACAGAACGAACTGAAAATAATTGTCTGTTTTCTGTCATGAATAAAAATAGTGTATATTTTAAGTTACCGTTGGACGGAACCTCTTCCCTTCCACTCCAATTTTAAAGAAGTATTCAGCTGCTGAGGCAAGCTTCGGAACCTGGAAAGAATGAGATCCGTCACCACCCGAATAGACGCAACACTCAGATGGGCCCACAAAATAACAAGGAATTCAAAAAAAAAAAAAAAGACATCGAGTATTCTGCATCACACACTTAAGTACCTCAGCAACTACCATTTGCCGCAATTTATTAGCAAGAACCGATAACTCATCAGCAACAAGTGAAAAAGGATCAAGTTGTTCCTGCAAGAAAATTAATCATGCACATCAATTGCTGTGACTAAGCTATAAAACTGCAAATTGTTAAAAAGCTAAAGGTTGCTAATGGAGGTCACGAGTCATTGACATGCAGTTAAAATACAGAGATTTAGCACTTTCTTTTTAACTGCGACTACCTAAAATAAAAAACACAAGAGGACTGCCTAACAGGAAATTGTGGCCTCAGAACAGCTCCCTCCCCAAATATTTGGGAACAAAATGTAAAGTGATTGTTATACAATAACACCCCTCTTGCTCCCTATCTTTTCACCCTCACAGTCCACCACAATCCGTAGATAGACAGTCAAGAATTTTTCCCTTCAAAAAAAGGGTCTAGAAACCTTCCAAAATCTTGAGGGGATTTAGATTGTGCATAAAGGAGCAGATTAAGGCAGTCCAGCAGTAACATAAAAGGAAATACTTAAGCTCTAGAAATTCTATATCAGATACTCAGGTACGTATTTGTAATCTCAACTATCAAAATAGGCCATTTAGGATTTCAAGGAGAACAGGTACAACTCTCATATCAGTTAGCAGGTAGCAATGTGATAACCTAGAGGCCAGGAATCTCCCCATCATCACAAATTCAGTTTAACCTTGTGAACCAAAAGTTGTAAAATTTAAGAAGCTAGCAAACAATATCAAATGAAAAATGACGATGCTTCACCTAACCTCAACCAAGGAAGTGCTCTGGTGATGTATTTGATGCGTAAAGCCAAGCCGTGCAGGAGTACTTGACGAATAATGTTCTCTGCAACTGTAAACCTACTAATCACCACGAAATGAAAGGAGACTAAGAAATAGTAGCATAAACCGATCAACCTTCATTAACAAAGACAAAGAACCCTTCGGGGACATCCAATAACATTATCAAAGACAAAGCAATGCAAAATATCTAGGCTTCATTCCGTTAAAACCAGTTCCGAAATAACTCAGCTTTCCAAAGTGCCAAGATTAATTCAAACAATACCAACTCGGCTCATTCTACGAAATGCTTGCCTGGAATTCAAACTAACAGTGGGACGGAAATTTCTATGGCCATGCTTGCATTCATTGATAAAATCAACCACTTCATCATACATTCTCCTAGAAATCTCATGACGTTAACACACAGTAAAACCCCAACAGGCAATAGCTCTCCAGAAAACTTTGGTCAACAAAGAAAGAAACTTGCACCTCCATATCGAACTGTATACTTATCGGGTAATTTTCTCAAAAACACAATCATTACAAAATATTCAGAAGTCCAAAAGCAGCTCATTCGAGACACCAGAAATACCAATCATGACACCGCAAGCTCGCTATACAAACTTGCACAACTTCAGACGCAAAACCGTCATTAAACAGAGAGCTCCAAGTCGCAGTCAGTCAACCGAACAAAATCCAGAAAGGGATTATTAGAGCAGCAAGAGAAGCAAGCAGCAGGAACTCGAGTCGCCAGATAACTATTCCAAATCGCCGACGGGAATGGGAAGTAGGGATTGGGAGAGTCAGTGGAGATGCACGACGGGATTACCTTTTGAGCAGAGTCGCCAAGAGTGTTGGTGCTGCCGTCGGAGATAGGCAGCGGATCCAGTCGGTGCGAAAGAAGCGAGCGGCAGCCTAGAGCGTTCTTCCTCCTGGTAATTCTTGAAATCCGCGACAAGGCTCGCGACAACATCATGGAATGTTCCGATTGCGATGCTGTTTCCTTGATGAATCTGAGAAAATGAGCACAGGGTGGCGGCCGGCGGGGGAGTTCGTCGGGCGAAAGCGAAGCAGAGGAGGAGAAGAACACAACGACGTACACCGACTTGAATTGATTTTCCGCCCTTACTCCAGGAAACAAAACAAAAAAAACAAAATTATTTTTCTTTTTCGGTGGAAATTTCGTCGTTCTGTTAACGGAGAAGAAGAAACATGTTTTGATGACGACGGCGAATCTCAGCCATTCGCCACGTTTCCCCTTCCCTTCTACCGTTCCTTCCTAAAACCCTTTCTCTTCTCTGTTAGTTATTACGGATATTTGCCGTTTGTCTGCTTGACTTATTTCCCACGTCTAGTACCCTTATTATTGTCCAATGCCATATTGAATCTTCAATATTTACTTTTCCTAGTACGAGTCTTGTAATAGTTGTTGGGACTTGTGAGTTGTGATTTATATAGGCAAATATTAGGGTTGGATATCTCAATAACCAAGTGATACTACGTTCGATCGAGTCAATTTACTTCAATATTGATTCTTGATAATTAGATAGTAGACCAAGACCAGATGGACATTTTTTTTCCTGCCGATGACTCTTCGTATGTTTCTCATTCTTTAAAATTGTATAAAGAAAGCTCAAGTTCGATTCATGGAAAAGAAAATCAGAAGAGTGGAAAAAATATACTATCCCCAGGTTGTATAAAATTCATAACTTATAACTCAAACATGATTTTCTAGTTGTACTAATAAAAGTCCGCTCGTTGTCGTTTCGCGTATCAGAAAAATAAATATTTTAAAGAGTAATAGTTTTAATGTTGACCCAAAAGTGAAAGTAATTTTATTTCATTCTTAATCAATCTTTTCATAGGTATGTTATTTACAATAGCATGTAGTCGATGAACATGCATAGGGTAGAAGGGTCGTCGAGTTGATTATTTATTTTTGAACTTCTTTCATGATGACAATGTTTCAATTTGTATGACTAGTAGTTGATCATGCAGTAAATTTTGCAGAATGAAGCAGTTTCTGTTAATCTTTTCAAAACGTATTAAAAAAAAATTTGTCAAGTGTTTAGCTGAAAAACTATCATAATTACTTTCTAATATAAGAGGTGATGAAAAATGCCTAAAAAATATTTCTAACATAAAATATGAATACAAAATTCTAAAAATATATAAGTATTCAAAATGGATCACGTTAGATTTATTTCATATAAAATAAAACTATTTTTTTATTTATTTATTTATTTGATGAATCGGTGGGTTTGTATTTCATCAAAAAAAGAGCTGCTAGCAACAGCCTTGCTAGCTAGGCCTACATCACTTTCAAAATAACACTATCAAAACAGCAAACCAACAACCAAACGAAAACGTTTACATCTCAGAAACCAGAAAAGCAATCAAGAAATCCGGTATCCCAGGGTTCTCTGTTTACCAACCGCCAGCTCCACTTCAGACTTAATTACCTTCAACAAAACATCAGCACCGCGTTTGACACCAGCAAACATCCGACAACATCTTTCACGTCATACATGACTCATCCAGGACTGCCAAATCAGCCTCCCCACTTCAACAGTCTCAGTAGCAGCAGAAAATTTAGCAGTCCAGAGGTTCATTGCATCGTCCCAACCAGGCCTAAGAGTACTCTTCAGTGAGCTAATTAGAAGACCATCATACAATGTTATCGAAAAAAGACATTCTGTAAATAAGTGCTCTCTGTTCAAGTTCTGTATCACAAAGACAGCAACTCATAGGTCCCAAATAGCCCCATTTTAGCATCCTTCTCCTTGTGTTTATACAGCCTTTAACAACCAACCATGAGATCACCATGTTCCTTGGGATAGCCTGCCCTTTCCATACAAGTTTCCATCGGGGAACTATCTGCTGAGCAGGCTTAATAAATTCCCAAACCTTCCAGATCGAGAATGAATTCAGTGGGACACCCTTAAACAGAACTGTGTCATTATCTAGAGAAAGCAAGTGACTAACTCTAGTTCTGATTTTAATGATCTTCTTCCAGTTCCATGATCCAGTTCTACATGTATAAGTCCCGAAGTTATGCTCTTTTATCTTATAATTAAGCATGGATCCAAGCTACCCACAGAGAGCCTTCTTTCAATAGAATAAGCCAGATATGCCTTACCATGTAAATTACATTCCAACAGCTCATATCCCTAAGTCCCAGACCACCCTCTTTCTTTGGGATAGTCAGTTTCTGCCAGACCATATTTGCTCTAAGCTTTGTTCCAGTCCCAACTCTCCATATGAATCAACTACAAATATGTTCAACCTCTTTAATAACCACCCATGGGAGTAAAAACACTGACATCCAAAATTGTGTCAAACTGTACAAATCAGTTCCTACTAGCTCAATTCTTCCTGCATAAGACAAGGTCTTAGCTTGCCAGCTTCTTACTTTAGTCACCAATTTGTCAATAAGAGGCTTGCAAGCAGCAAGACTGAGTTTACCTGAAATGAGGGGAACCCCCAAGTATCTCACAGGAAACTCTCAAAGCTGAGCCATATCTGGAAGCCCTTCTACCTTTTTCCTCTCGATCTAACCCAACAAAAAAGACCTCACATTTACTAGGGTTTGATTTCATACCTGAGATCCTTCTAAACTAACTGAGAACCCTTTGAAGTTCTAGAATTCCACAATTTGATGCATCAGAGAAGACCAGAAGGTCATCCGCAAAACAAAGATGTTTAAGTTTAATTTTCTTACACAGTGGGTGAAAAGGGAAGTACCCATCGGTGGCAGATTTGTCAAGAAGAGACATGAAAATTTCCATAGCTACAGAGAACAGGTAGGGGAGAGAGGATCACCTTTCCTGAACCCTTTACTAGTTTGAAAATAACCAACAAGCCCCCATTAAAACTAACACTAATCATAGGAGTACCCACACACATCTTAATCCATGCTACAAACCTTTCAGGGAACCCCATACTTTTTAGAACTTGGAAAATAAAATTCCAATCTACTAAATCAAATGCTTTCATTAGGTCGATTTTTATAGCACATATAGGAGAGTTTTTCTGGTTAGAATACTTGGTCACCAGCTCATGAGCTAAGATGATATTTTCACCAAAAGTCTGCCCTTCACAAAAGTTGTTTGGTTCTTACTGATTAAAAAGGGAAGGAGAGCACTAAGTCTGTTTGTTATCAATTTGGATATGCAATTATAAAGTATGTTGCAACAAGAAATGGGACGGAAGTTCTTCATCTCATCTGGGTTTGGGACTTTAGGGATTAAGGTCAAAATAGTAGCATTCACTGCTCTAGGGATACTATCTTGTTCAAAACGATATTGGATTGCAAGAGTTACCTCGTGACCAATTAAAGGCTAGACATGCTGGAAAAAAGCAGTCGTGAAACCATCTGGACCCGGACTGTTATCACCATCCATCTCAAATAATACTTCCTTTATTTGCACTTCAGTGTAATGAGCACCGATTCCCTCAGTCTGCTCCTCTATGAGCTTATTCTTCAGCAGTCTCTCATAGTAATCATCATTTTGAGGTTCAACTTCAGGATCTGGTCTCCCCAACAAGTTACCATAGAACCTAACAGCAATCTGAGCCATTTGATCCACATCTTGAGTTTTCAGACCATCCTCATCTTTAAGAACTCGAATTGTACTTCTTCTCTGTTTGGATCGAACCGAGCGATGAAAATAAACAGAGTTTGTGTCACCTGCCTTTAGCCAAGTCTCCCTCGATTTTTGCCTCAAGAAACTTTCTTCAGCTGATAACAAAACATTTAGCTCCCTCATCACAACCCCCTCAGCCTCAAAGTTTTCAGAGGAGGGATCAACCAGTGCTTTCTACTGGACCAAGTCCAACTCCATTTCCTTCTCCTTGACCCTTCCTCTAATATCTGAGTATTCCTCCTTATTCAAACTTTCTCAAGAGGTTTTTCAGATTTTTCAACTTCTTGCAGACTCTTACTAATGGGTGACCAGTGACCCTACTACTCCAGGCCTCCTCAAGAAGACTATTAAATTTGGGGTGTTGTAGCTAGAAGTTAAAGAACTTGAAGGCTTAGGGAGAGATTTCAAAACTTCCTCAGTTTCAACATACATAGGACAATGATCAGAAACCCTAGGAGATTGAAAATGCACTTTACTGTCCTTCATATGCTCCAACCATTCAAATGATATAAATGAAAGAAAATTGTGTTTTGTAGAAAAAGAATAATATATGATAAGCACAATTTTGAATTTTCAAATCGGAGTTTCTGCTTTTAAGTTACGAAAAGCTTAAGTTTTTTAAAAACCAAAACTTTTGAGGTGTTTGGATTGGCTTCAACTTTTGAAACATAAAACTTCTAAAATTCGGGCCAAACATAATTGTACTCTTTTGTTTTTTATTTATTATTTATTTGAGGTAATCGTGGTTCTCCTTTATGAATTTTTTGGACTGATTGCAGGTTTAAGAAGGTTCAACTCGCATTGATCGGGTCAAATTAGGTTGAATACCCATGGATTTGGGTCAGTTGTCTTTCTCAAACAAAAAGAAAAAACTAAATGAAAAAACTAAAGCTAAAACTCGCTACCGACTCAAAATTCGTGAACACCAGGTTCAACTCGCTTTGGCCTGGTTGGACCGAGTTTTAGACAAATTCACACCTGACATAACACGCCAATTACAAAAACAGATAAAACTCGCTCCCGTTGTAAACCTGTAAAATTGGGTTTAAATTGCTTTGGTCGGGTCAGATTAGGTTGTATGCTCATGCATTGGGGCTCAATTGTCATTCTCAACCAAAAGGGAAAAGATAAAAAAGTACTAAAGCGGATAAAACTCGCTCATGACCCCAACAAAAAGGAAAAAGTGAGAAAAAACACTAAAGCGAACGAAACTCGGTACTGATACAAAACTCACGAACATTGAGTAGATATGGTATGGATTGTCGGTAGCGACATTGGGTTCAATTATGATCATACTCAACAAAAAGGAAAAAAGAAAAAGAAAAAACACTAAAGAGGATGAAACTCGGTCCCGATACAAAACTCGTGGTAGGGGCCTTCGGAAATGATGGTGGGGAACAACCTAGGATTCTGCATACAATATTTCGAGATGGTCTGCAGAATGGTGGGCAAATGCGATGATTTGTGTTCAAGTTAGGATACCCATGTGATTGGGTTCAATTGTGATTATGCTCAACAAAAAGGAAAAAAAGAAAGAAAAAAACACCAAAGAGGATGAAACTCGGTCCCGATACAAAACTCGTGGTAGCGGTCTTGGGAAACAGTGGTGAGGAACAACTTAGGATTCCACCGACAATATTTCGAAATGGGCTGCAAAATGGTGGGCAAAAGTGATGATTTGTGCAAAAAGCCATAGCGAATAATAACTAAACACAAAGGCGATGATTTGTGTAAAAAGTCTTAGACGAAAACCTAGTGAACAATAACAAAACACAAAGGCGATGATTTGTGCAAAAAGCCATATACGAAAACCTAACGAACAATAACTAAAAACAAAGGTTGTAGAATGAAGAGTGAAGTAAAAGAAGGGTTTGGAACTTCCCTACTTGCACTTAAAGGAGTGTGAGAGCCACTAATGGTAACACTCAGGTTTTTATATATGAATGAATATATTGAATATATACGAATGAATGAATCTTCACTCAATACCTTCAAAGAAGACAATTTAACCCAGGAGACTATTATACCTTAAGTATACGCACATCGCATTTGATAATTTTGATTTTGGAGTTAATTCAATGGACTACGACAAGGACTTTGATTTTCTTGGGGAAAATGCTTTCCTTTTCCTGCTCGAACAAGGATTGTAGTCGTAGCATTTCCTTTTCCCCAATAGAACGCGCAAAAGGGTGCCCAACAAAAATCCTAATCCTTTTCGGACTAGGAAATACCAACACACCCAGGCCAAGGATATTCGTGTTCATCGTCAAACTTCCTGTCAGCGATAGCCTGCAAAGCCAATTCCTTGCAGGAAAAAGAAACAGCCAACTTGCCAGAGCCTATAAATTCAGACGACCCTGTTACGACCGAACCAATTCCAACAAACCTGCTCTCTGTATTAATTCCTCACATCAGCCAGCCAGCCAAAGACAGAGAAATCAGCAAACCATGGCTCTACCACACAAAGAAGAACCATGGCTGGTACAGTTCCACGGCGAGAGAAACCAGAGATCACAAACCTTCTACAGCATGTCCCAGAGAAGTCACCACGTCGAGAGCATCCCCGAGATACGGTCCCATCGCATCGCCGCCACTTCTCATGGCTGGTTGCTACTAATTTGGGATTGCAGAGAATACGACCACGATTGCTTCCTGCTGAACCCTGCCACCATGGAGAAGATTCAGCTGCCCGATTGGCCCGACCTCGACTCTACCTACCAAAACTGCATCCTTTCTTCTCCTCCTACCGCGCCTGATTGTGTCGTTTTGTTCACCCTGAGTACAGATGAGGAAACCACCTTTCTGTACTGCAAACCGGGTGATGATGATTGGAAGAGACAACAACTCCACACTCGTTGCAGTTGTGAAGTCGAAAGAGAGTTAGAAGCAGAACCCCTCCAATTTGCAGCAATGACCACCTTCAGAGGCGAGATCTGTGCTATTGCATATTGCTGTGATACCCTCTTCAAGGTCCAGATCAATCGAATTGACGATGATGGTGGTGGCTCCTGCTCCCTGAGCATAGTCGATGTGAACGTTACCAAACCGGATGCTCTGTTTCATCATTACATCAGGGCCGATGTAGATTCCAGAATTTACATGGCGGAGTCCTCTTCTGGCGAGCTTATCATGGTTGAGGCAATTTATTGCAATGGTGACTCAATTGACGAGGAGGATCCTGATAGGGACACTAGTATGATGACCATTGAGCTGTATACCGTGAATTTCGAGAGAAGGGTTTGGGAAAAGGTGGACTCTTTGCCTGAAGATTGTGCCATCTTCATCGGCGCCAGTGGAGATACGATCTTGTGGTATGAAATCCCGAGAGAAGATCTGGATGCAGGGCTTGTTCGCGGGAATACCATCTACTTTGCACAGAAGAATGACAGGTACCTTTATTCGTACGACGTTCAGGAGAGGAGATTGAATGTCTCGTTACCTTGCCCCGACGTGAATTGGGGTCATCCTGAACAACAATGGATCCTAACTCATGGATGGCTTTCTTCACCAACTGAATTTACCCGGCCAGAAGTCGTAGCTTCTGAAGTTGAGGCTGCTCCTGCTAGCCAGGGGATTACGTTGATCGACAGTAATAATGTTGGAGATGGATGGTCTGGAGTTCCAATTGACAATCTACAGGGAGCTGATTGTCGTTGCTTCCATCTCGACTGCGAAAAATGTCAATTTCATGATCAATTGTCGAATCATCGACTCCCCTACCTCGTGCACATAGGACAGGATGGTGAACTGGTCAATTTCTACAACCCACTAACCAATGCCACCAGCATCTCGCCTCTGAAAGGTCTGAATTTGACAGGCGCGGTGATTCGTTGCTCCAAACACGGATGGCTGCTCATGTCACAAGGAAGTTGGGGTGAACAAGTGTTCTTCCTCAACCCTTTCACCGGCGAGAGGATCGATCTACCCGAATTGGGCAGCTACGAGTTCGAGGGGATCGCTTTCTCTTCTCCTCCAACATCGTCGGATTGCGTGGTTCTTGGCTAATCAGTCGGGAAACAAGATTTGAACCTTGCATACGTATGCAGAGGAGAGAGCAGATGGACAGAGTCTGTTGTGGAAAGAAATGGAACTCAATTCATGAGATCTTACGCTAACCCAGCTTATCACCAGGGTTTGTTCTATCTTATAGGAGGGACTAGAAGTTTGTGCACATTCGACCCTGTGGAAAGGGACGCCAAACTTCTGGACCTGCCTGGTAATTGTGATACTACTACAGCTGCGATAACAGGGAACTATTTGTTGGAATGCAATGGCAAGCTTCTATCGGTGTACACGGGTCGAATGGGGGAATTCGTACGAGCGTTCGAGCTCAATCGAGAAGCCGCGGCTTGGGAAGGACTCGACGATCTGGATGACACCATGTTGTTCTTGAGCTCTGCATCTTCGTTATCGACTACAAGTAAAGGGGCGAGGATTTGTGGCTTGGGAAACAAGGTGTTCTTCGATAGGTTTCGCGAGAAGGATAGCGTGTTTTACTCTCTCGCAACGAGAAAGTTTCATAGCCTTTGGAGCCGATACGAGAACAACGGTTGGTGCGACACCAAAGAATATGTGAATTGCGCTTGGATGGAACCGAACTTTGGAACGCACACGGAGGAGGAGCTTGTCTGGTTTGATCCCGTGGAAGAAGAAGAAGAAGAAGAAGAAGAAAAAGAGGAGGAGGAGGAGCTTGCCTCCTTTCATCCGGCCATCGTGGAGGAATGAGCACTTGTGAACCATTTATCATTCACTTTACAGTTTCCTGCTATCTTTTTTGTTTTTGTTTGTCATGTCAGTCGAGTCGATTACACGAGTTGAACTTGAGTGTCATATGTAAGCCCTTATAATGGATTTGTTTTCTTTATATATCGTGTTTTTCATGATGAGTTCGACTATTTATTGACTATTGTGTGATGCTCTCTGGCTATCTAATTTAATCTAACTAGTTTTTTACTTCTCGTGCTCTGCACCGGGATATGAGAACCAATTTCAATATAACTACTTAACTTCGGAAATTGAAAAGAATTTTAAGGTTCTATATCTATGGATGCACTGTATAATTATTTTTTATAAGCCGCATATGTATCTCGTAAAATTTGGTAGAACCAAGAATAGAGTTTTTTTTTATCTATGTGGGGATGAGATAGCATGTCTACCCATAAAAGGGTTGGCAAAATGACAACCCCTATTAATTATAGGTTTTTAAGGTAATTAATTTGTGTTGCATTTAATAATCTGTATGAATTAAAAACACATATTAATTACTTTCCTTTTTTCAGTGCACTGGTAGTTGTATCAGTGCACTGGTAGTTGTGTACAGGTGCAATGGTAGATGTATCACTGTAATGGTAGTTCCAAAAAAGGAACGTAATTAATATGAGTTCAGTATACCAGTGCACTGATACAACTACCAGTGCACTGATACAACTACCAGTGCACTGAAAAAGGAAAGTAATTAATATGTGTTTTTAATTCATACAGATTATTAAATGCAACACAAATTAATTACCTTAAAAACCTATAATTAATAGGGGTTGTCATTTTGCCAACCCATACAAGGGTTAGCATGCTAACCGATCCCATCTATGTGCCATAACCATAGTGAATTTTAGTGAGACCAAAAGAGCCAAACTAATTGACAACACAAACAAATGACAAAAAAAAATTAATGTACAACATCAATGTGAGTATTACAATGAATCCCTCTGAACCCACACAAACCATTTTCATTTGGCTGCCTTTCTTACTTGTGCTTGTACCCACAAATATAAGCAAGAATAAACATCACGAATACAATTCAAGTTGACTAAACAAACCGAATCAGGATGTCCATCTGCTTTGCAATCTGCATGTGCACACACAAATGACATATATGATGCATGCGTTGAAATAAGCTCTTCAGCTTCCCTAGTAGCAAAGTGCATTCCAGATCAAGAGTTAATAGCACTCTCGCCATATACCAATGGTTCCATGGCTGTATGATAGGCTGAGGAAGAGAAAAATTGCAACCCTTTTTAGTCTGTGTTATAGCAGAATACTGTAGTTAAAGCCAGCAGATATTTCACCCATTTAGGGATGGCAAAAATATCCGTAACCGTGGATATCCGCCCGAATCCGGCCTAATCGGGTAGGGTAGAACCCGAACCCGAAGGACCTTTAGTGGGTATGGGTAAAATCTGAACCCGAATATTGCGGGTAATGGGTGGGCATGGGTTTCTCACTATCCAACCTGAACCCGCCCGATTATACACATGCATATGTATTCTGTCTAGAAATAATCATTTTTTTCTCTAACATATTTTATATTTAGCATATAAATATAGTATTTTCATGAAATTGTGTTGTTATAATTAATTTTCTTCATTCTAGTCAATTATTGTCGTACTTTTCTTCTTACGTAATGTGAGAATACGTGTGAATGTTAACATATTGGTTATAGTTATGAAGAAAATTATTACCCATGGATAACCGCGAATACCCGAACGGGTATGGGCATGGTTTTAATTTTCTACCCGTTTACACTTGTGGGTATGGGTATGGGTAAAACCCGAACTACTTTGGATAGCATATTGCAGAAAATCCTGTTTTTCATGAGAGGACAAAGCATATCGAGATTGATATGCACGTTACCAGGGAAAGAATTAAAATAGGTATGATTCAGTTGGCCTATCTTCATACTTCAGATCAGTTAGCTTATGTTTTCACTAAGGGTGTTAGCAAGTACAGATTGTTGGAATTGCTTGGCAAGATGGGAGTAATTGATGTTTACTCGCCATCTTGTGGGGGCCTATTGGAGGATCAACTTGAATCCAGAAGAACAGCAGCCACAGCCATTCAACATTGCAGTCCTGGTCAGCTTAGGATTGGGAATAGTCAACAGCACTTGCACGATGGATTTAAATGGAGAAGGATAGAAGTTTGGAACTGATTTGGCATTTGTGCATTTGTTTGTACGGTGCCGTTTTGCTTTCTATTATTTGTTTAATCCTCTGTTTTGGATTAGTTGAGAATAAGCCAATTCCCACCAGCCAACTGTCGGGCTTTGGTTAATGGAATTCAATTGGCTGTTAATACTGTTCATTAGCCGTTGGAGTTCCATATAAATACAAAAACCCTAAAGAGAAGACATCAGTTTTTTCTGCTGCTCTTCCACCCAAATCTCGCCTCCTTCCGTTTCTCTTATGGTATCAGAGCAGACTACTGCCATTCTGGCAGCCTTCTTCTAAACAGAGCAGCAGATTGAATCACAATGGCTGACGGGGAAGATCAAACCAACGACAATGCTACTGCCACTACCATTCCTACAAGTTCAGCTGCAACTTCAGCAGCTACTGGAGGATCGGCAGCCATTTCTTCAGAGTTTTTGTTTGGTAACCCGTTCTATCAAAACCCTAATGAAAACCTTTCTCAATCGATCGTTTCTGAAGTCCTTGATGGTAGTAATTACCAAATGTGGGCTAGATCTATTCGTATTGCCCTGAAAACCAAGTACAAACTTGGGTTTATCGATGGATCTATTCCAATTCCAGATCCTAGTGTTGATGCTAATGGTTATAGGGCCTGGGATGCATGTAACACTGTTGTTTTATGCTGGATTATGAATTCTCTGCACAAGGACATCAAACATAGTGTTCAGAGTCATGAAGTTGCTCAAACCCTTTGGGAAGAACTTAAGGATAGGTTTAGTCAGGCTAATGCTATCAAGCTGACTAACCTAGAGGATGATATTCATGCTTGTAAGCAGGGAAACATGACTATCACACAGTATTACACCCTGATGAAAGGACTGTGGGAAGAATATACTAAGTTCAACCCAATTGTGCCATGTACTTGTGCACCAGCACAGATTCTTCCATGTCCAGCTGTTGAAGCATTTAAGGCAAAACAGGAGACAGATTATCTTGTGAGATTTCTGAGAGGAGTAGGACCAGCTTTTGATGTGGTTAAAACTCAATTGTTGATGATGAAGCCAATGCCTACAGTGGTTGCAGCTTATGGAGATCTATTGCAACATGAACAGAAGTTGAAATCTGACAAAGGGAAAGGTGGACAGTCAGTTGCTTTGGCATCTTTTGGTAACCAATCTGGTCAAGGCAGTGGAAGTGCTGGTAGGCAAACCTCGAGACTAAACACAGCTGAGAGCAATGAAACTGGTCTTTTCTGCAGGTATTGCAAGAAAACAAATCACAACATAGCTGATTGTTGGGAATTGAAAAGGAAAAACAAGGAGCAGAATAGTGGTGGCAATCCACACTTTGCAGGAGCAGTTAATGAAGGGGATGAAGGCATGGCTGAGGTGCAATCAAGTCCTGGGTCTAGTAGTCAAAGTTCTGGGGGAAGTAACAATGTTGGTCCTGGAAATCTGATAAATATGCAGCTTACTGGAGATGAGTTGAATCGACTCCGGCTCTTACTACAAGGAGTTCCCAGTCCACCTTCCTCCTCTCCTTCACCACCACATTCACCAAACATCAGGCATACAGCTTTTTCAGCATCACAGCAACTGCCTCATTTCCCAAATTGAGCTGGTAAATTCATTCTATCCTCATTTGTTCACTGCCATTCAGCCACCCTTATGCAATCTTGGATACTAGATACAGGAGCTTCAGATCACATAGCTTGTTCTAAGAGTCTTTTTGTTTCTTGCAAACCTGTTGAGAGTGTCTCAGTATACCTACCAAATAACACTAAAGTCCCTGTTTCTCATATAGGATCAGTTAGGTTGCCAAATGGCATGTCCTTACATAATGTTTTGCTGATTCCTAGCTTTACTTTTAATTTAATTTCAGTGAGCAAATTGACACATGATCTGCCTGTGTCACTAAACTTCCAATCTGATTCTTGTCTTGTCCAGGACCTTGTAACCAACAGGATGATTGGCTTGGCAAGACAAAGTAGAGGTCTGTACCAGTTAGTTCCAAATCCAGAAAGCCAGACTTGTCATTCAGTAGCCTCAGTTTACAATTTTGAACCACAGCAAATCAACCTTTGGCATTGGCGTCTAGGACATCCAAGCTCCAACAAGATTCAGTTATTAGAACAATGTTATCCTTTAGTTAAGCATCAAAAAGTTAAGCACTGTGAAGTTTGTCATCTTTCAAAGCACAAACGTTTACCTTTTGTTTTGAGTGAGAATTCTGCTGTTAGTACTTTTGATCTAATCCATGTTGACATATGGGGGCCCTTGGCTGTTGAATCTTATGATGGATATTCTTACTTTCTTACTGTGGTAGATGATTGTTCTAGGGCTGTATGGATTTTTTTGATGCAACATAAGTCTGAAGCAAGATCCTTGCTGCAAGGATTTTGTTTGATGGTACAAAAGCAGTTTTCCAAATCTGTCAAGATCATCAGGAGTGATCAGGGCAGGGAGTTTCATATGCATGATTTTTATCATGAACAGGGTATAGAACATCAAATGTCCTGTGTGGCAACACCAGAACAGAATGGGAGAGTGGAAAGGAAGCACCAGCACATATTGAATGTGGCTAGGGCACTTAGGTTTCAATCTGGTATACCTTTGCAGTTTTGGAGTGACTGTGATTTACATGCAGTGCACTTAATTAATAGGTTGCCTACACCTGTTCTAAAGGATAAGAGTCCTTATGAAGTTTTGTATCAAACTCCTCCATTTCTGGGTCATTTAAAGGTTTTTGGGTGTTTGGCTTATGCTTCTACACTGAGCAGTGGAAGAACTAAGTTTGATAGCAGGGCCAGACAATGTATTTTTCTGGGTTATCCTCAAGGAATCAAAGGGTTCAAACTGTTTGATTTAACCACACATGATACTTTTGTGTCCAGAGATGTTGTTTTCTATGAGGACATTTTTCCTTTTCATGGTGTCTCAGATGATACAGAATCCACTTCTACCTTTCCTGATTTACCTACCATACATTTTCCTCCCTCTTCTCCTTTTGATTCTCAGGCTCATGGGGGCCAACCCAGTTCTGAACAGCCTGCTTCTTCTTCTCATTCTCCTACTATTCCTTCTCCTATTCTACCTCCTGATTCAACATCTCCTTCATCACCAATTCCATCTCCTACTACAGACATTACTCCTGATCCTAATCCCATTTCTGATTCTGATGCTGATGTTGAGCCTGATCATCATGAGTCAGAAGATGAACTGTTTCCAGGAGAGGAACCTGATGATGATGAAGAATTGCCTCCAAGGCAAAGAAGGCCACCTGTATGGCACAAAGATTATATTACTTCAGTGAATCAAATCAGCAAGTACTGCATGGCAAATTATATCTCATACCATCAGTTTACTCCACAACAAAAGAGATATGCCATGAGTCTGACAGCAATCATGGATCCTAAGACATACAAAGAAGCAGCCAAGGAGCATCATTGGATTAAGGCTATGGAAGAAGAGCTAAATGCTCTAGTTGAAAACCATACATGGGATCTGGTTTACTTACCATTTGGAAAGAGGACCATTGGCTGCAAGTGGGTTTTCAAAACCAAGTTGAGACCAGATGGTACCATTGAAAGGTATAAAGCCAGGTTAGTTGCAAAAGGCTTTACACAAATATATGGGATAGATTTTCTGGATACTTTCTCACCAGTTGCTAAGATCAATACTGTCAAAACACTCTTAGCTGTTGCAGCAGCAAAGAACTGGAACCTACATCAAATGGATGTGTCAAATGCATTCTTGCATGGTGACTTGGATGAGGAAGTGTACATGTCACCACCACCTGGTCTAGAGGGAAGTGAAGGAAAGGTTTGTAGGCTTAGAAAGTCCTTGTATGGACTGAAACAAGCTAGCAGGCAATGGTTTGCCAAGCTAACTTGCTCATTAATGAAGAATGGTTTCTCACAATCAGCTGCTGATTATTCCATGTTTACAAAGAAAGTGCAGGGTAGAATGGTTGTTCTACTAGTGTATGTTGATGATATAATTTTGGCAGGAGAGAAGCTTGATGATCTGGAGTTGGTAAAGCTGTTTTTGAAAAGGAGCTTCAAGATCAAAGATCTAGGTGTCTTGAAATACTTCCTGGGTCTTGAGATAGTGAGAAATGCAGATGGGATTGTAGTGAACCAGAGGAAGTACTGTTCTGAGTTGCTTGAAGATGCAGGTTATGCAGAAGCTAAGGAAACACAAACACCTATTGACATGAAGGTGAGGCTTAGTTCTACACAAGGTACTCCACTGGAAGATCCTAGTAGCTACAAAAGACTTATTGGAAGACTATATTATTTAACCATTACAAGACCAGACATTTGTTTTACTGTTCAGCGGTTGAGTCAGTTTCAAGGAACTCCTCTTGATACACATATGCAAGCAGCACAAAGGGTGCTGAGGTATTTAAAGAAGTCTCCAGGACAGGGCATTCTGTTTAGAGCTGCATCTGATCCTGTGATCACTGGATACAGTGATTCTGACTAGGCAGCATGCCCAGACACTAGAAGATCCATAACAGGATTCTGCACTTACTTTGGAAATTCATTGTTGACATGGAAGAGTAAAAAGCAAACAACTGTTTCCAGGTCTTCATCAGAAGCAGAATATCGAGCTTTGGCTCATTTGGTGTGTGAGATTCAATGGTTAAAGGGACTGTTGTCTGAGTTGGGAGTTCAAGTTAAGGTTCCAATTACAGTTTACTGTGACAACAGATCTGCAATCCACATTGCAGAAAATCCTGTTTTTCATGAGAGGACAAAGCATATCGAGATTGATATGCACGTTACCAGGGAAAGAATTAAAACAGGTATGATTCAGTTGGCCTATCTTCATACTTCAGATCAGTTAGCTGATGTTTTCACTAAGGGTGTTAGCAAGTACAGATTGTTGGAATTGCTTGGCAAGATGGGAGTAATTGATGTTTACTCGCCATCTTGTGGGGGCCTATTGGAGGATCAACCTGAATCCAGAAGAACAGCAGCCACAGCCATTCAACATTGCAGTCCTGGTCAGCTTAGGATTGGGAATAGTCAACATCACTTGCACGATGGACTAAAATGGAGAAGGATAGAAGTTTGGAACTGATTTGGCATTTGTGCATTTGTTTGTACGGTGCCGTTTTGCTTTCTATTATTTGTTTAATCCTCTGTTTTGGATTAGTTGAGAATAAGCCAATTCCCACCAGCCAACTGTCGGGCTTTGGTTAATGGAATTCAATTGGCTGTTAATACTGTTCATTAGCCGTTGGAGTTCCATATAAATACAAAAACCCTAAAGAGAAGACAGCAGTTTTTTCTGCTGCTCTTCCACCCAAATCTCGCCTCCTTCCGTTTCTCTTATCGCGGATATCGTCTCCCCCCGCCGTGGGTACTGTCCAACCTCGATCAACAATCTAATGTGCCTCCAGCGAGTCTGGATCTTCTCCGGATCTCTCAAACCTTCCTTTTCATGGCTTTCAACTCCGCCCGTCTTCCAAAAAAAGACGATGAACAAACCTGGAAAAAGGAACAAAGAAGCCCCATGAGATAGAAAGAAGAGAGAGAATGAATGCAGAAAATGAAATGCAAAGAAAGAGGAAGAGGTATTTCAAGATGGCTTCCTCTGAGACTGAGAGAGAATACATGACTACTCCCACCATAGGGCTACGTGGGGCTTAATCCCACCAAGCAAACCAACGAAATATCTCTGGCCTATTTATTTTAAAATAATAATGTAACACCATTAATCTCATCCTTGATCCTTCTGCTTCCCTGACCAAGTTTCTTCTAACCCCTCATATTTTCTTTTTTCCCTCTCTGCTTCTCTCATCAGTCCCCTCAATTACCTTTCCTAATTCAGAAAGCACGCCCAGTCTACATCATCAAGACTTACCTCTCTTCAGTCTTCTCCCATACCTCTCTTTGCTCTCAGCCTCTGAAACCGACACGACTCCCACCTCTCAATCAAAGACCCTGACCTTGCCCTAAGCCACTTGCAGAGCCACTAAGTAGCACAGGTCCTTTCAATAACCCTTTCAGTCCCCAATTGCCCACCATCTCTGAGTCCCCCACCCACAAAACCGTCGATTGCTTGCAAAGACCCTGACACAGCTGCCAAGAAAAATAGACATGCCGCCGCCTGAAATCCATCCAATCAAGCAACTGTGCAGGCTCCAGCCACCGAGAGGGCTCTGGTGACCAACGCGTTCGTGGACCACAACCGATCCAACAGACCAAAACAGCCCAACGACAAAGTTCCATCCCAACCGACCCGCCAAACACCCGTCCGATTCCAATGAGCCCCCACCCAACGCCAGCCCACACAGCGCCAGCTTCCGGGTTATAACAGTACATCTCGGTCAGCATGAGCAGTAAAAGCAGTCTGCGTGTGCAGCACCAGGTCCTGCGGTGGGATTTCTTCTTTCAATGACAAAACATAAAAAGTTAAAGTCTACGTTGACGTCCTCAATAGTCAACCCCACAACAAGAAGTCAACAACGATGCTTTTATTTTGATCGAATCTGCTTTACAAAGGAAGTTGTGGAGAAAAATGTACAAAATTTTACAACACAGCTGCTGCCACGGTTTGGGCCTGAGACTGGGACTGGGCCTCGCTAAGCAGGCCCTTGAACTGGACGTCGGTGGCCTTAAGCATAACAGCGAGGGACAGATCTAGGCCTTGCTCCACAACTTCCACGTGTCTGGGCTTGATCCGATTCTCCAAGCTAAACGCAAAGTACTGCGGGAACTCCTTCACTTCCTCCGCCCCGTCTTTCCCCATCTGCCCAACCAAGTACTCGAACTTGGGCTTCAAATTGTTCTCGATACTGAACGTGAAAATCGTCGGACACCGGAGCAGCACCGCCACCGCCTCCTCCGCCGTCATCCCCAGGCTCTCAATGTACTTCAATTTCGGGACCAGCGTGTTCTCCACGCTGGAGACCAGCAGCACGGGGTCGTGGTAGGCGAGCGATTCCAGATCGTGGAACCCTAATCCTTTGAGGTAATCGAGGCAGGGGCGGAGCTGATCGGCGACGCTGCTGGTCAATAGGCGGGGGCATTTGTTGATTACTCGTCGGAATTGGTTGTCGGGGACGCCGAGGTCTTTGTTGAGGAAGGAGAAGACAGGGGAGATTGCGGTGGGGATGTGGGAGGTGAGGATCTGAGGGCACATCCCGAAGATGCGGGGGAAGTCCTTGTGGTGGATGCCCTTGGAGTGGAGGAAGGAGACGACGGCGTGGATGGAGTCGAGGGAGGCGGTGTGGAGGGTTGGGTTTTGGGAGAGGGCTTTGCCGGAGTCGACGCCCATGATTTCGAGGCAGAGGACTTTCTCTTTGATTTGGGAGGAGACGTTGTTGTGGAGGAGCGGGGCGTAGAGTGGGTGTTTGTGGAGGATGCTCTTGTTTTGGGGCTTTGCTGAGAGCTGCGCGCTGCTTGGTTGTGGGTTGTTGAGCTGGAGTGAATCGGAAGGAGATGGCGATGTTGATGATATGCAGAGGGATGAGCGCAATGCTGCCGTGGCGACGCCGGTGGATGACATGGTGGCCGGTGATGATGCGACGAATGGGTTTGTTTTTTTTGGTTTCTTCGGATAGTATAATTCAGCTATTTGCTTCTTCTTCAGGACTGTGTGATCTGAAAATGGGGGTTATCTTGGATTGGGGAAGGTGACACGTAGGCAGAAGGGTTGAAGGTGATTGGCTGGTTGTGGATTACTTGTTTTGTCGGGCTTGCTTGGATTGGTTGATGACTGATGACGGATTCAAGAAAGGCCGCTATTCGTTTTCGATTTTATCTCAGCGAGAGAGAATCCGAGGCCCAAATACTAATAGTGTTCTTAAGCCCAACCTCAATGTATGTTTTAGAGGATACTAGCAAGACTCGCTGCGCTTCGTCATGTGATGTGTAGTCACAATTATACTTATAAAGTTACACGACAAATAAGAAAATAAATATGTCATCATAACTATAAGGTTAAATCTAGGCAAAATTCATTCGTATAGCCAAAACTTTCACGTTTGTGACAATAATAGCCACTTTTGGGGAAATACCAATAATAGTCAGAAATTTGAAAGTTTGATGACAATAATAGCCATTTCCGTTACATAATTTAACGACGTTAGTTACACCGTTAGTCAAATTAGTGGGACGATAATCTGGCTGCCAACTCACCCTTTCTTTCATTTCCACCTCAGCATTCATTGACAGGTGGACGACACCTCATTTCCACAAGTAAAAAAAAAAAATTAACCTTACCTAAATCGGGGAAATCAGCTTGGTATCTCCATCCAAGAACTGCCCGCTTCCCCTCACTGTCGTCCATTCTCGTTGACCCCGCCGCTGCCGATCTCAATTTTCCAGATGCAAGGCCATCAACAAGTTATCCGAAGAAGATGATTGGATTTGGAAACAACAAAGAGAGGAGACAATGGTTGAATCCTCTACTTCTTTCACCTCTTTTTATTTCCTCCCTACCGTCCACTTCCACCACCGATCTTCCTCTACAGCCGGTTGGGATAGCAAAGAGGAAAACCCAAGTTGCTAAAAGGTAGGGCTGGGAAAATAGACCAGACTGTTAGAAAAACCGTGGTCCAAACCGTACCGCACAGTTTGGTCCGGACCGTAGACCGTGAAGTATGGTCTGGTCTGGTCCATGGTCTGTATTATTTTATGATTTGATCTCTTGGTCTGGTCTGGTCTAGACCGTGGTTTACCGGACCAAACCGTGGACCCAACTGACTTGTCAATATGTGTTAACAGCCCATTCGACCACTCTCCAAACTCTCACAACGACACCCAAGTCTCAACCTTAATTTTGTGAATCTCTTCCCTCCTTCATTCACAACCACATTTAACCAGAGAGTAGAGATAATAGTGTCTCCATATGTCATTATGTTAATGTTTATGACGTTATGGTGCAAGCTGGGATGTTTTTACTTTGTATCTTTGTTATGTACTAAGATTTAGAGTTTCAAAATTATTCATGCATGTTAGGATTAATGTTTTAAGGCAAATAACAATTATTTTTCTTGGTTATTGGTTCAATTTTTTGTGTGGTTGACTAAACAAATTATTCATTTTTCGTTGAGTGTGGTCTATCTGGACCAGACCAGACCGAACCAGACCGCACATGCGTGGTCTGGACCGGACCGTATAGTCTGTGGTCTGGTCTGTGGTCTATACTTTAGCCTCTCGGTCTGGACCATAGACCGTATCTATGGTCTGGTCTGGACCAGACCGCACCGTTTCCCAGCCCTACTAAAAGGAAACCTTTCTCTCGTACAGACTCGACCACCACCACCACTCTTTTCTAATCTACCCGAAACAAAACTAGAAGAATAAATCCAATCTAAGAAACCCCACAGAAAACCCACAGGTAGTCGAAAAAATCTCATCTCGAACAAATCCCCACAGAAATCCCACAGGGAGTTGAACAAATCAAAAACCCACAAGGAGTCGAACAAATCGAACAGTTTTCCCAAACTCGACCTACTACCGCCTTGTGCGATTCGGGAAGGGTAGGAGACGAAGCGCCATAGAAGTGAGGTCGGAGATGGGAATCGGTTCATTGTAGATTTGGTCTTCGATTTTAGTGGGTGCTTCACATCCGATGTTAGGCCGGAGCTGGCGGAGCCATCACAGGCCACTTACGCGGGGGCAGCGGATTGTTCATAAGTTTCGCCACCAATCGAGAGCTGGAAGTCGTTGGAGAAGTCACGATCGCCGTCCTTGAGAATTGAGCACCGTCCTTGATGGCGGCGGGGGAGAAGATTGAGAATTGAGCACGGTTCCTCGACAGCGGTGGTGAGAACGAGACGGAGGGAGTAATCCGAGAAGATGAGCGGCGGTTGGGGAAAGGGAAGGAGAAAGAACCGAGGGGAGGGAGAGAAAATAATAAATAATGAATTATTTTATTATGATTTTTTTAATTAATTCCAGCTCATATTTTTATTAAATAAAAGTTTGACATGTCAGCTTTTCTGTTAGTCTAGTCAGCACGTTAACTCACACCGTCAAAGAATTGGACGGAAGTGGCTATTTTTGGTATTTTGTCAAAAGTGGCTATGTTTGGCCAAACCGTCAAAGTTTTGGCTATACAAGTGTATTTTGCCTTAAATCTATATGGTTTCTTGTCTATCTACTAAATTGAAGGAGTGACGTCATCAAGATCCTTCCATTTCAGTTCAGCACCTAATAAAACATTCATGAGGGTAGTTGATTGAACAAAAAATAAATTATCGTTCGGAAGTTACTATAAATGGATTTATAATCAAAGATAAACTGAAAATGAGGCAAGAAGTTAAATAACATGAACATTTTCAATATATTCAATCCCATCTAAAAGTCTTCTTATAAACATTTGTTCATTTAGCTATGCTTCTACCCCATCATTTCTCAATACCGTTCAGGTGCTTTGTCATTTTACATGGCTCCTATAATTAATCAATGACTATTGAGCATTAATGAGCCATCAAAGCTTACTAAACCATACGTGAAAAGAAACTCATCACAAAATTTTATCAAAGTAACCATTCACTGAAAGTGGAAGCACTTGAAAGCATGGATGTGGGATGTGGTTGAAGCTAGTTTGTTTCTCCGAGAATCAGCTAGCTCGGACTTGCCAACCATGTAGGATAGCTTAAATACACTAAAACTAAAACCAATTTTATCAAGTTATGGAGGTGTATGTCCTTTAAGGATGACGTGCATACTAACTTTGTAAACTACATTTTAAACTGTCAAAGTCAAGTCCTTAAAAAAGAAATTGCCTAGTTTGCACTAATATAATCCAGGCAGTTGAATGCCTAATTGGAAGACCATTTCCAAGTGGCTAAACACCGCCGATTATATTTCAGATATGTAGAAGGTGACACAATTAGATAAAAAAAATAAAACCATCAAAGGCAAACCAATAGCAATGTTCATAACTCAAGCATACAAAGATGCATGCACTGCTCTTATTATATGAAATAATGGATACAAAAATTTGATCGTTCAATATATTTATAGTAAACATCACTATTTTAAGTTAAAGTTAGGGTAAAGGGAATACCCAACATATGGTGACAAATATTCAAAAATGAAGATAGAAGTTGTTTAGCACATTAACATGAGACCACATTAAGAATTCAAGTATGGGCTCTAGCTCCAACAATTGACGATGGACAAAATTGAGAAATAGAATAACGCAAGGGAAGTTTGGCCTATGATGCATCTAAAACGAAGGCTAGATTTTGGTAAACCAATTAGAAACATTATCATTGAGCAATGTTTTTAAGTAAAGATAGCAAGCGTGTCATTTACATTGAAGGTAATAATAAAAGTGAATTAAAAAAAATGGACAAACAAAGGCCATCCTCTAAGCTAGTTGTAGGTTCAATAGGCGGGAGAAGTGCAAAAGCTACTCCTTGATCTCACAACACCATTATATGTAAATTCTAACTACTGATACTTTTCAGTTGGGTGTTGTGAAACCCTAACTATCTACCATGTAGTTTTTGTTATGTGAATTGAATGATTGTTTATGGGTGTTGTTTAATTCAATGATTGAGGTATTATTTATGTTGATTATGCATGTTTGTGCTTAGCAATTTAATTGACCAATTTAATCTAGACTAAAGAGGGAAAAACCCCTTCAAGGGAGGCTCAATTGAGTTGGTATTCCTAGGATTTTTAAGTCACCTATCTAGGTTAGTTTAGGGCAAACCTCGATGTTGGATTAAGCAATTTGGTTAACCGCGATTAAGCCGACCAACCTTTGGGTTGTGTGAGGGAGTAAGTCAACCATCGATTGCCTAAACCGAGAGGGCCGAGTGACAGCCTACAATGAATCCCTCGGTTTAGCAATCGAGAGTGTGGTCTACGACCATATTTGCGTCCCTAGCGGTTCGCGGTCACCTTGCCCATAGCAATCGTTTCGATTCACATACCATGGTAGTAGTTAGGGGGAAGCGACACCCGAGTGATCATTCTCACAAAAGAGCTTTCAAAACCATTTACTTTTACCTTGCTTTACTTTAATTAGCAAACTTTTCAACTAAAACTGAGTTGCTAGATAATGATTCAAATTACTGAAGTAGGAAACCTGCAAAACCTTGAACTCAGAAAAAATAACCCCCCCCCCCCCGAAAGCCAAGCCAAACCTTTCACACAGCGGCGGATCCAGGACATAGTAGAGCACTGGGCCGCATTTCATTAGAAAACTAGATACCGCAAAAAATTATAATTTTTTTTACAATATCAATGGTACACGTCGATCTCTTAATATAGTGAATTCATCAATAAAGGAGTCTACATCCATACTAATCGCATACTACTCTTTTTCAAATAAAATAGTTAACTAATCGGCGAGAAATTCATCGCTCATTTTGTTGCACAAATCATTTTTCACCTGTTCCACTATTGAAAAGGTTCTCTCCATAGTAGTTGTTGAAACGGACAATGTCAACACTGGATAAATCAATCGACTAATCATTTTGTATTGTGTATCCATCCCTATTTCCACCATCTACTCTAGTTATTTTTTAAGTGAACAAATCTCATATTTCTTTTAGCCTTTTACGTTTTAGACATTTATAATTTTAGGTTTCATTGTTTGTTTTTCTTTAGACGAGACTTATTTAAGCTAGAATTTCTAGACTAAATTTAGAGTTATAATTTGAATATGTTCATCTTACCCATTTTCTTAATTACACACAATTTTATTATAAATAACACTGGCCCGAATAACTAAAATCGATAAACGTATAAGGGCTATACTAGTTCCGGGTCCAGAGGAGGGTTCGGCCGTGACCTGGGGTGGCAACCCCTGGATCCGCCACTGCTTTCACAGTAATTAAGCAGAAATTAAGCGGGTACAAATATACGCTACTCCAAGCTAACCAAATCACAACCCATACGTCAACTCAAGTCACCAATCCCACATTCGACGATGACTGCGATAGAAGCTTCATCGCAAATTCCCTGGGCTTGCACAGCAAATGAAGCGGCCTACTTCTAGGCATCGTAACACCCAACGTTTCCGTCATATCAATCTCATCTCCTCCAACCCTCTCCCAATCAAACAACTGCACCAAACATCCAAGCGCCAGCCCAATCTCCCGATTCGCCAGCACGGCACCAGGGCACCGCCTCCTCCCGCCGCCAAACGGAATCAGCTTCCACCCACCGCCACTCTCCGCCGCCGTGGCAAACCTCTCCGGGACGAACTCCGTGGGGTTCTCCCAGACCTCCGGGTCGCGGTGTATGGCCCACGCGTTGATCAGCAGTATGGTTCCCTTGGGGACGTCGTACCCGGCGACGGTGCAGTCCGCCGAGGATTCGCGGAGGGTGAGGAGCGGGACCGCCGGGTAGAGGCGGAGCGTCTCGCTGATGACGTGTTGGAGGTAGTGAAGCCTCGGTACGTCTTGCTCGTTGAGGAGTCGGTCGCGGCCGACGGTGGCGTCGATTTCGGCTCGCAGTTTGGCCATGGATTGTGGGTGGTTGAGCAGCAGAGCCATTGCCCATTCCAGTGTCGTGGCCGAGGTCTCTGTTCCAGCGGTTAGCAATACCTGCATGCGGCGGTATAAGAATTTTTTTTATATATATATGACTATGAGAGCAACGGAAATTTTCCCTCTAACAAATTCTCACAATATCGCAATTGTTTTTTTTTTTCTCCTTTCAAAATACTAGAGTTTGAATTGGTTCACTCCCGTATCAAACGAAATAGGTATTAGTTTGCTGAAGCCAAGAGCGATCTACATCAATCCAGCCCAGATTGTGCCAAACCAACTAACCTGGATCGCGCCGGACAGAAGCAATCCAGCCCCGAATAATTACCGGGATCGCGACAATAATACAAACGAACAACCTGGAACGCGTCAGATCGAAGCATCGTTCGAACTTTCGATCTACACACCTAACTTAGATTGAAAATTATAACTATCGTAACTTTGCACTCGAGTATTTGATCGTAGCAAACAAAAATTTAATAATAGGATAACCTAGATCCCTGGAGCTGCAGGGAGCGAGCAAGTGTGGTTCGCTTCTGTGTGCCGCAATCCACCCAGTTGAGAGCTTATTTGCTTAAGTCCGTCGCGATCCACACTAGTTCACTCTCTACTCTAGTTCGTTTAGCATTAGAGCGAACCACTCCAAACTTTGAAGAGAGAGCATTTTATAAGTATGGTCTTGTAAGTATTTGTTATAGTATAAGTGTAGTATTTAGGAAAAATTTCCAAAAACAACGGAAATTTCATGCAGTCTTCAGTTAGTTAAAACTTAAAAGAGTTAGTATGATTACCAGCAGAATCCCCTTAATTATCTCATCGGTGAAGACTTCCGGCTGCCTGTGTTGCAAGGCCAAGATCTCATCCATCACCGCCACGACCTTCTTCTCATCGCCATAACTATTATTCCATTTGCGGTGGCCGTCCACAAGACCCTGAAAGAACCCATCCACTTTCCCCATCAACCCCGCCATCTTCCTCTCTATCCCAACCACGTCCACCCACCTCCTCAACACCGGGAAAAAATCCGCCGGATTAAACACGCCGGACAACTCAATCCCTGGCCTCACCGACTCCTCGAACTCCCCCATCGCCGCCTCCCCGCAAAACCACTCCCCCACCGTCATCATCGCCGTCTCGTTGAACATCAGCTCCACAATCCTCGCCTTCATCTCCACCACCTTTCCCACATCCCCTTCTCCGCCGCCGCAGCACTCCGCGATCCGGCAGAGCCAGGAGCGGACCTCGGCCTCCCTGACGGCGGCGAATTTGGCGACGGCGGGGGAGGAGAAGAGCTCGAGGGTCATGAACCGGCGGAGGCTGCGCCAGAGGTCGCCGTACGGGGCGGCGAGGATGGTGGTGTGGCGGTAGTGGAAGTGCTTGGTGCTGGCCATCTCGAGCGGCCGGCTGGAGAAGGCGACGTCGTTTCGGGTGAAGCACTCTTCCACGGCGGACGGGGAGGAGAGGAGGAGGATCCTGCGGGAGCCGAGGCGGAGGAGGAGGATCTTGCCGTGGGCGGCGGAGATGGACTGGAGGGTTCGGTGGATGGGTTGTTTGTTGTTGTTGAGGAGGAGGTGGTGGAGGTGGCCGACGACGGGGAGGGACGACGGCGGCGACGGAGGCGGGTTGAGGGTCTTCGACGTCGACGGCCGGGGCGATAAGAGCTTCATTACGAGGAGGGTGATGATGAGGATGGTGGAGTATACTACTAGGAGGATGTAGGTTTGTTCCATCGTTACGTCGAGTTTGGCTGGGTTGGGTTTTCTTTGTGTAGTACGTAGAGAGGTCTATACTTACTAATTAAGTAATTATAGAAGGGGAAGTTATGTCGTTTAGTGACCAAATATTGTGACCAAAGTTTAGGTTACGGAAAACAATTTCATGCCGATGTTCGTCAAGAAGATTAACAAAATTTTCATCGCCACATTTGTGGTATCTCGCGGCGGCCAAAGGTGGAAAGATGCATGTGTCGGTATTAGGCAGCGGCGGCGGCCAAACAAATTAAAGCAAAACTAGGGTTGGCAGGAAAAATTCACTGAATTCGGTATTCATCCCGATCTGAACAGATCAATAGAGGTAAAATTCGCATTGATCGAATTTCGGGAAGGTTAGGACAGAATCCGGAATGTGTGGCTATCGGACACGTGCAAAGTATGTAGGGCTGAAAATTTGTCCGTCCCTGTCCCGTTCTGACTCGTCTTTGAAGGGTCAAGATGGGGAATGGATCAGGTTAGTAACCTTATGGTGAGTAACCATGAGTAACCCGTCCACATCAGCATGACATCAGCATCCTCTCTCTCATGAAAAGCCTTTAATTTTTCCCTCTTTAATCTTTGACGGACGATTTCTCGCTCATTTTAAGTCGAAATTTAATTTTTTTTGCACAGTTAGATCAGATTAATTGTGCTCTTCAAAATGATATCCACTTTAATATATTTTTCGAACAAAAAAAATTGAGCCATTTTTTACCAGCCTATACCATATGGTATTGACTGGTATTGAAATAAAAGCATACCTATGTTTTGAAAAACGTACCATGGTGGTATGAACAAACCAATACTGTAGGATGGTTGAATACATGATAGTAGAAGTATATTAATTGTAATTTACGACTTTTAACATTGTATACCACACAATACCACCCCGTACCAGGGTGGTATTGTATGGTATTATGTGGTATTTTTTGGTCCTGTAATTTGTTCACCCAGAAATTTGTAGATCCAATAGATCATGATGAACTCGTCCCTTCTGTGCAAACGTTTTCAAAAATGAATTAAAAACGAAGAAGATACCATACAATACCACCCCGTACCAGGGTGGTATTGTATGGTATTGTGTGGTATTTTTTTGTCCTGTAATTCGTTCACCCAGAAATTTGTACATCCAGTAGATCATGATGAACTCATCCCTGCTGTGCAAACGTTTTCAAAAACGAATTAAAAACGAAGAAGATACCATATGGTATGCAGTTGGTACCGAGAGGCCAGAATTTTTTTCCCTAAAAAAATATTGAAAATTGATCTCATTTTGTAGAGCACGGTGAACTCGTTCCATCTGTGCAAAAAAAATTAAAATCCGAGTTAAAACGAAAAAGATATGAGTCAATTAAGAAAACTAGTGAAAATAAAAATAGCTTTTAATTCTCCATCCTTAGATCTGGATTTTCTAAATGAAGGGTCCAGATTTGGTTATTGATGGGTGCATAACCCATGGTTATGCACCCTATCTTGAGCCGTCAAGATGTATACCCGTCCCGTCCCGTCCCTCCCTGTCTCCTTATTGACCTTGTCTGACCCTCAAGGGTTGAGACGGGACGGGACGGGCCGGGTCAGTGGGTCGACCCTAATCAACACACTACTTTTTTATAAACTACGTTTTGGTACCCAAAATTATTTTTTCTTACAATTTAGTACCTAAATTTTATTTTTTTTACAAATAAGTCCATAAATTTTGATGGTAAAATTACGTTTTGGTACCCAAATTTTTTTATTTTTACAAATTAGTACCTAAACTTTTAAAACTTTACAAAAAGGTCCAATGAAGTATGAGATATTTGTTGTTGCTAAGGGTCACATGGTCAAAACGTGACCCGTCCCTAAGTTGTCCCGACCCGTCCCGGCCCTTACAGGGTCAACAAATGACTCGTCCCTAATTTGTCCTTGTAGACAAACTGACCTGTCCCGACCCTTAGGGACGGGACGGGTCAGTGGGTCTTCAGGGACAAGCTTTCACCCCTAAAAGTATGGATATTTTAATATCCACCTCGAACCCATCCAGCAGTAACCCAATACCCAGATACCATCTTGGCCGTTGAATCTTGATCACTTATCGAATCTCGTTCTCGCTTTTAACGATGTCATGTCATTTCCCAATTACACGCTTCTGAATTCCCATTCCCGACCCGTTCCTCCAATCCTCTTAGACTCCTCGTCTTCTCGAGCCATCAAATCAAACTCCACTAGCCGTTAAATGAATTCTTCTTCTCAAATCCAAAGCGTTTTATCGTTAATGGAAAAGTGACAAATAATCTCTCAATTCTTTTTAGTTTCTTTTCAAAGTCTACTAATCTGCTTTATTAGCATGTTGTTGAAGCTATGTAAAATTTTTGGAGTTTTACGCTTAAGTATATAACATATCCGTAAGTATACGAATATCCGCCCAATATCCATTGGTATGAGTATGCTTAGAGATATGATTTCTGTTGTTTTATATGGTACCCACCCGATACCCACTCGAAAGGATGGGCCTTCCACCGTTATCCCATAATGTGGGAAATTTTTATATTGGGTAATGAAAGAGTTCAGTTGAATTTGTGCAAACTTCAAACTTATAGGAATTAGCGTTAATTAAAAAATTATATTATTAAAAGATATAAAATACATTATTGAATTTCTCTCAACATCTCAAATCAATGAATTATCAAAATCAACATATTCTTGACAAACGGTTTAGTGTACCGGCCCCACTACCGTCCCCTAGAGTTCATCACGTTAACTATTTTGTATTATTACGTGTTTGCAACTTTGCGCAAGCGAATAACAAAAAGGGAAAGAAAAAAAAGTGGGTCAACCTAGATAAAGACATGCAGTCGGCTTCGGATCTGTGCAAGATACTTTCAAAGAACAAGAAAAATTCTCAGAGTGACCGGAAATTTGAGAACATTTTCTTTAATCTAACTTGTCTTTTGCTGATTGAGGTATATTGTGGCACACCACAACGACATATAATGCTGGCATGATTATATTGTGATTGACGTTAGCGACATAGAGGTTATTTTTCAGATATATCACGAAAGTGGTAATAAATCTATCAGACTAATTTACAATACCGAGTCGTAACAAAAATGGTGTTACAATATCAATCATTTACCCACTTGTACACATTACCGTAGTTAGATTTAAGAAAAATGACACTCTATTCATCTAACGATCAAATACAAGAGTTGAATATGATATTCTTGTTTGAATTGAACAGACAGGAACGATTGATAATGGACAACCGTCTTGACGTAAAAGAACGTTACAAAGGTCGATGGGCAATGATGCACGCCACACAATCCACCTCAATTACACAATGGATAAGAAAAAGTTTCCCATGAAAACAGTGGCTATCCACCAACGAACTATTATTAAGACTAGCTGAACAAACGTCTTCGATATATAACCTAGAAAGAGAGCATATACTTTAAACAAGCCATCGCCCCGGTCCTCGTTGATCTTGATCGGCTGAGGGGAGGCGATGAGCAATAATAACAATAGGATTCATTCTTCTTTCAAACAGACTGGGACTACTGAAAGACAGATGACGTAAAGAAAGAAAGAAAACTAAAGTTCGAGTTATTATGCTGCTGTAAGACCGGTGTCCTTGCTTAAACCCCAGCATACATATAACGTCGGCAAGATTGTGAACCACTGCCATACTAGAATAGAACAACCACCATATCACACCCGTCTCATCATGGAATCCACAGATCGGTTTTCATTTTATCGATTTCTGGGAACGTAGTTTCCAGTCCTGCTGCACATTGAAATATTAGCAGATCAACACCATTGCATTCTCATAATCACGCCCTATAACCTTCACAGTGTCCGAGCCGGAGATCTAGAACTCAATAGAAGCTTTTTTTACCTTTCTTGGATGACACATCTCATTGCTGACCATGGCTTCTGCTCATGGAAGGTCGTCGAATAAGCTTTTGCCCAGGAGTTTGATGATCATCCTGTGAGAACCAAAATTTACTTTAATTACAAGCACCATAGAATGTAGAAAGCTACACCTTAACCAGGGAACCAAGAGGGAGAAAAAGGGGCATCACGCTTCAATCTTGCAAGATGTTTTTGTTTTCTTTTCATTTGGCTTTAAAAGTAATAAATTCCAATCAACACCCATCTTCAATTAGATCAAGGTTGCGGAGTGCGAGTGTAAATTATTCAATGGCGACTAAGTAAAAGCAGGAACTAGTGGCTAAAGGGGGAAAAGGGTGCAAAAGGGGATAGGGAGTGTGCATTGGAATTTTGAATCCAGAGAAGTAACTACGGATAGAAAACATGGAAGGAAGTGCATTTCATTTTCCTTTTTAAAAGCAGCTACAGGATGAAAGGTACGTGTTTGATAGTTGATTAAAAGTTATGTCGACTATGGAGTAGGTTTAAAAACAGATATTTTCATTTTCACAAACTAATAACAGTAGTAACTATTGGAAAAACAGTAGTCGGATTTAGGGAAATCCAACAGCATCATGAAGTTCTTTTCTTCTAACTGGCAAGAGAAAGCTGACCTTGTACAGAGATGCAGCTGATTCAGACTGTACGGGTTGAATGGCGAAATTAGCCAAAGATCCAACTGCATCCAGCGCATCCAAAGTCAGCTGCCACCCACAAAGGGCATCAGTATCAACTATATTGCTGCTTCCAGGACCACAGCTACTGCTGCCAGCAGCAGCGACATTTCCATTCACCCATGGACAGAACTCATTGTGATGAATAATTGGATCAAACTCCATAGGCTCCTCATAGTTGCTTTCACCTTTTGGAGGTTCTGCAAATCAAGCAAGTAGTCAAATATCAACAAGGAAGACTACCGCCCAAAAAAAATTTAAGGAGACACAGCATGAAGGAGTGAAGGTTCAAAACATCAGAGGGCAACTAGTTCCAACAAGATATATTCATCATCTTGATCAATAAGAAATCCTGGTCATGGTAGATATAAAAACAGATGGAGGACAACTAGGAAGGACGTGAATAGAACTAACCTATCCCATTGGCAACTGCATAATTTGACTCTATGCAAGTACCATTGTTTGTTGATGAGGATTTCCCAGCTTTTTTGCCCTTATTAGCAGTTGTTTCACAGCCAGAGTCAATGACGGCATT